GGTGTTTGCTCCCTCGTTTTCGCGTGCCTTCGTGGGTAACTAGAAGCCCGCTCGAGGGGTACTTGGATGATCCGGAGTTCGAATCTCGGCGATGCATTGCGGATTTCTTCAGTTTCTGACATCCATGTATTCTAAAATGTTCTACAAGTGGCGCCTTAACTGAAAAGTGCTAGACTATAATTCATCACCACCAGGATTTGGTGATTGTGTCCCCTAATCCCCAGTCACCTCCTTTCCACATGCCTTCATAGCGTAACCAGAAGCACACTCGACGGGTATGCGAGAGGTCCAGAGTTCGAATGCAGGCGAGGGCACTGCAGATTTCTTCTATTTCTGATATTGAAAAAATCTAAAAGACGCTACAAAGCTATTGAAGTTGTTTTATAATTTCTTTGAATATTACTTTCAACGTAAAAATAATTCTCTCCTCAATTCAGTTTCACATCACGTTCGGCATTCTAGTGATTCTTCGCCACATTAATGACCGAATAGATAAGACGGCTGAATGCCGGTAGTTGTAGCTGGGGTCAAATCCTAAACAACGGGTTGGCTGCCTTATGCGGTTTATGTATGACTTAGGGTGTGTAGCACCGTATTCACGTATACATGACATGAATACGTGTCCTTTTCTTAACATGAATATGAGCCATTTCCCATTTTTAAACATTTCGCTGTGAATTTTTCTCCTCTACTAAGACATCTCTTGCCTTAGGTAGGAAACTGTAGTGAACTTTTCTGTAATTCAATAAATTTCAATTAGTCTTTCTGCTCCGAAGATCCATATGACTAATCCCTATAGTATGTTACACATGAACGAATGCCGTCCCTCAAAAATATGCCGCTCGGGGAGGCATATTTTGCTACCCAGGACGGAACACCGTCTTCGCCCCCTCTCGCTACGCCACTGATTAATGGTTCGTCATTATGTTATTTGATACTCCCTAGTTAAAGCGGGTGCTGCATAAACTTTTAAAAAATTTTTTTGTTTTAAAAAATTTAGCGAAATTCGGAGGCATTTAAAATTAATTAGCAAAAATTAGAAAACATATACCAAGCTTTAAGAAATGAAACACCACAATGTATGTAGGGGTGTAACATTTATTAAATTTTGTGGAGGCCATAATTGGACAATTCTTGGTGATATAGAATCAAATATATTCCTGGATCTACATATTGCCCTATTAATTTCCCTAAATATGAGCCATTGTCTTTTGTTTCTATATTTGTTGTTCTCTGCATTAGCGCCAGATATTGGATTTATACAGTTGTGTTTATAATTCACTATTGTAAACTTTGAAAACTGGCTTTTTTTTTTAATTTCTAGCTCTGTTAAGCATGCTATTCCGCATACACTGTACTTTTCTCGTGCATATGTTCCATTTTTATCATCTTCTTTGGCGAATCTATCTGTTATTCTCACATAAGGAAACTTTTATTCGTTTCCCTGCAGATTCCTCCCAGAATCCATTCTTTCGACAAAATCTTCTTCGTTTGCCTGACGAATGTTCTTTCGTCAATCTCTACGATCTTTTCAGGTACACCAATTTTACCTTTGGAGTGTTTGATGAAAACAAGATATAAACTTTTCTCATGTAGTTGTTTTAATCAGTTTCTCATATTTAACTATCAGTTACCCCGTCTGAGGGAAATTGGTTCTTCAGCCCAACAGTATATGAAACGCAAAGTGGTAAGAAAAGAAATCCTGGAATTATAAAATCAACTATCGGCACGAATGCAAATGTAGCATGTAGCTTCTCACACTGTATCTTCAAATATTTTGCGTCTCAATAAATAATTACATTTCGTGGTCATTTTTTAATCTTCGTTCAATATGTAAAACTTTGAGATCTTTGAAAAAGAAACCACTGCTTCCATCAGCTTTAAGCTGATGGAAAGTGGGGATATCATTTCAGAAAGGGAAAAATAAAGGTTTCGAAATAATGTCCAATGTAACGAAGAAACCACTGCTTATTTTCCAACTGATGGCGAGTTAAAAACTGTCAACATTTTAGAGAGAAAACAGTTACGAAAGAACGATATCACACGATCTGAACGGAAAGTGAAAATCAGATAGGGTTATTATTAAACAGGGTTATTGCGTTCAGAAATTGAAGGAAAAAGGCCTGTATGTAATATGATAAATATGTTATATCTTTTTTCCCTTTCCTATAGACGGAGGAATTTAAGGTGTTGTCATCTGCGGAACCCAGATGGCTGGAAATAATTTTATTTTTAACCTTTCGAGTCAAAACCCATTTTAAGCATTCATTTTTAATATACCTTACCCACCAGATGAATACAAAAGCCAATTTGCATCGAATACCAATGAAAGACAGTTTCGTGGCAGGTGTTTGCTTAATCATCATAAACAGAGGCATTTCTTCATTAGATCTGCGCATTTAACAACAGAAGTTCTGGAAAATGGTCAGAACTACTTAGTTGCTCAGATAAGGGCTTGAATCGTCAAGCAAAGTTTTTAGGTTTTGTAGCCCCAGAGCCCTAATGGGAGATAGCTTTATCAGTTCTCTGTAATAGGCCAATAACTACAATGTGAAAATATAATTCGATTTGTTTGAATAATATACTAGCTGTAACTCTATTCTGCTGCCACTCCTCCAAAGATTGATAATTTTTTTAAATTTCTTCTCCGCCTTCAAGATTGTCATAATTAGCATACTAAACATAAGGAGACTAATTATTAGTATATATTAGCATACCGATATTAGTAACCGTTGCTTGGTTTTAACCTGTACTTCTCAGAAAGGCCCTAATGCAGTGACGCTATTAGGGTGGCAGTGGCGTGCTATGGTTTTTACCGAAGGGAAATTATAATGAGAAATTATAATCTTCTCTGAGATGACACTGCATTATGCAATATTCGTAAAATGCTAAGGAGCTAGCTTCGTCCCTCTCGTCCATTGACGGCATCCATTGTAAGGTGGGACGAAGGAGACTGTTTGCTTCAGAGGAAATATTTTTTTTAAATGCCAAATGGGGCGCACTTCAAAATGAGTAAAATAACAAATATTTATAATCGTAATAGGTATAACGGGAAAAAAATTCATAGTGGATAAATTATTAGACCCTAAAATGTACACATCACTATATCACTAAATTCTTTTACATTTAATTCAGATTCTGGAATAAAAATGATCCTAATTGTAGCTCTAGTCCTATCCTATCTCAGAGTAAAATTTCCTATGGATCGGCTGCAGCATTGAGGCCGAATATAGATTTCGGGTTTGCTAACTTGTAAGTTGTATTAACTTGAACCATATTACAAGTTAACATATAGATTCTCAGCTTTATAATAGCTTTATAATTTGGGATTTTTACGAAATTAATTTTGCATTTAGGAGAAAACGTAATCAGAAGGGAAACATGCTAAAGTTAGCTGAAAGTACTTCTGGATTTGTCTTTAATCATGAAGCTAAAATGAACAGCACTCAGCGTTTATTCAAAAGAGATAAATAACCAGCTTTTATTTGACGCAGAAAATGTGCGGTACCAGTGACCGAGAGGTTAAGACCACAGAGTAGCAGTAGTTCGATCCGAATTTGATCCAAGGTGGACAGGATGGCTGCGTTATTAGTTTTCATTGTTTTCTTCATGTTCTAACGGGAATTATAGAAAGTTCTCTACGAATGCATCCCCTTCTTATGCTGATAGTTCTCGTCAGCTTTGCCTTATTCACTTGACCAATTAGTCTAGCTTTGGAAACAGTAACACGTGTTCGGAGCACAATCAAGGAGAAGCAGATGAGAAAAGGATGACATTCAAATACGGCAAATCGACAGGTACTGAAGATGATGGAAACAGCAAAAGTAACAATAAGAATATAAACGCTAAATTGCTAGTTTTGATTGATATCTCATCCTAGAATATACCAATTTTTTGATAATCTTCGCGTCGAAATCATGGTATAAGCAAGGCCAAAATAAAAAAACAGGGGAGGAAAATGCGAGACAAAATCAAAAGACCTACGTTTGCTTCCAAAAGCTGCTTTCAAGCATGTGCTCAAAGGTAAAAAAAAAATTCTGTGACCATGCACCTAAAGATGAATCCCATTGATTTGCATTATTATTATTTGTTGACTGTTTATCATTACTGATTGGTATGAAAAATCAGCCCAATAGCCAATGGATTCCAATAGCAATGAAAGTTGAACCCTAAAGTTATACTAAACCTTAAAGGTATACTAAACCTGAATACTAAACCTTAGAGGATCAACTGGAAAGATCAACTTGAAAATTAGATGATCAACTTGAAAAACTAAAATCTCTGAAAAAGGTATATAGGGAAATCGATATTAAAAACATGAGCAGATTGGGGTAATCTTCTGTCAAGTCAAATCTGGTGTTTCGTAGCTATGATTAAAATGAAACATCTATGGATAAAGATAATCTTCTTAAAGTCGTTGAACTGCTTTCAAAATATGAAGCTGAATTGAAAGAATGTATTCTGACATGAGAACATTACTCATCTCATATAATCGTTAGAGATACAAAACAGCGGTTTGTCTAACCACGGTAAAAGTAAACTTATTGAAGCAATTAAAACCATTGTACTATGATATCCTGTTCAACAATTATTCTTGATTTTTTTATATGCAGATAAAAATCCGAAATGATTTGCTATGCGAAAATTAGCAATGGAAATACTGAGGTCAAAGAATTTTTTTTCGTAAAAGAAAAAAAATTTAAACGATAAAATTTTATATTGCAAAGTCTGGCTGGAGAGTCTTGAGCTTATTTTAATATGAAAAAAGATCATTAATATCTGCAAGGGATGTCACTCACTTTAGGACTCTAAACACTTTTGAGCCACTGCAATTTCAAATACGGAAGGTTTTTTTTTTTTTTTGGCTCGTTGAATTTGGCAACTGGATTTAAATTGTTTATTTACATTCACTTCCAATGGCATGGCAGATAAGATAGATGTGGTGAGAAAGTCTTTTCTTGCAAGCTTGACTTAAAACTCGTAAATAAGCTGAATACTTTTCCTTTTGTTTTTTGTAACATGTGGTGACTTTTGGAAATTACTGCTGTATTTGATTTGCTTGCATAAATCTCTCATTCAGGAAGCAAATGCAGCAGATTTATTTCTTAATAAGATTATTTACATTAATGTGATATGAAAAATAGCTTTTCATGGAAAGCTTGTTATTAATATTTTAAGTAATAGTTAGAAGGAGAGCAATGTTATTTTATTGTTATTACTTATTCTGAGTTAATGTAAATTAATTATTTTCGCCTTGTAGTCCATTATTGTACCAGTGTACAACGGGGAGCAATGGCTGGATCAGTGTTTAGAGTCTGTTGTGGAACAAGAATTTTCTGGAAAATTAGAAATATCAATTTTTAATGATGCGAGTACTGTAAGTTTAGTAAATTTTATAATTATTTCGTTTTTTTCTAATTACTCTCTGGAGCTTATCTTATTATCTTAAAAAAAAAGGGATGAATATTTTTAAAACCTATTTGTAGTAACAGGTAATAAAGTTATGTATTATAACAAAATGGAAAACACAGATTTATTAAAATGATGCAGTTAGAAGTGTCATTAATATTCCTGTCATTTGAATTAAAAGTTGAATGATAGATGATACTTTATACTTCCTCTATACATCCAGTCAGTATTGCTACTTTCAGATTTTAGCTTTTCAAACAAAAAGTAAAATCTGTTTTTTCTGACTAAACAACAGATCTAAAAGTAGGGGTGCTGTCCTATCCTATATAATTCGTGTTACAAGAATTAGTGAAATAAATATTAAATATAATGAAAGCATTTGGTCATAGCTTGCGTATAAGAAGGTATTTCCTGATCACATATCCACATGAAAAATCGCTAGTTGGCAGCTTTCTGAATTGGCAAAAAAAGGTTTGATTGGTTATGCTTGCAGCTCGTAGATATTATTCATTTCATTAATAATAATAATAATAAAATGCCTTTATAAGAAATAAAAATTTTACATGAAAAACAAAAATCAGCAGAAAATGTTTACATTTTTACAGCTGGTGACTGTTTGACAAAATGAAAGTTAAATGTAAAGTGTGTAAATTCATGTATACTTGGACAGCATATGTATAGTATATGCATGAGTGTTGCCACATGTATGTTTGAAATCATGCCAAAAACACCTCACTTCGATGAAAGTTAAAACCAGAAGTCCAGATATCAGAAGACAATAAAAAAATTTATAATGGTATGTTATGAAGCTCTAAATCAGTTTTAATGTCCTTCAAGGAAATATGCACTTTTCTAAACATTCGTCAAAGAATTACATAATGCCCAATATCTGTTATTTTATTTTATTAAAATATTGTATAATATCTCTAAGTTTTTAGCCAAAGAGACAAACTTTTAATAAGATATTACAGTAAAGCTTTGATGAATGAATTTGTACAATGTTTCAATCTGAGGTTGTCTGATTGATTCGATTTTGCAAACTGATGTTGAAAAATTAATTTTTTATTTGAGATATTGGAAAATTTGATAGAAACAGATAATTTAAATATTATATGATATTATTTCATAATGATAGATGCAAATTAATCATTCCAAATTGAATTTTAAAATTTGACAAAAATTTAACCTTAGGTTTGCATTAATTTAATAAAAAAAATATAGTTGCATTTAAATAAAAAAAATCTAATACTGGTAGTACTTCTTTAAGGAGGGGGAATGCTGCTTGGAAATATGAATGCTGAATATTTTCTTCAAAATATTATGCTCCTTTCAGAAAAAGAGGCCTTTGTCTGATCCTCTCAAAATGTATAAAATGTTTCTTTAAAATTAATACCAGTCTCAGTATGAACTACGCTCTGATAAAATCCTAGTATATGGTGCAGTCTTAGCGCGATTTTAAAAACTATCGCCAACACCAAAAATTACCAAAAGAACGTCTATGTATATATAGTGATAGTAACTATATATATTCTTTGAATACCCGTTTACTACTTATCGTATATGTCCCGTTTTTACTGCTCATCATAAAAGTCGCCAAAAGTAGCCAAATCCCATGTGCACCGGATACTAGGATTAAACCCTACGCTCTTTTATAGTATTATTATTATTGTATAAAACTGGGCACAGTTCAAACTTCTAAAATTAAAAAATGAAAAGATTAAACTTCTCTGTTTTTCCGGTATCATTACTAAAAGCTAATAATCTATGCATTTAGTATTTAGAGTAAATTATACCTGTTCAAAAATTGTAATATACTTAATGTCTAATGAAAAATTATAATTTTGCCCCCCTGTTATTTAAGTTTTGAAAAGGAAATCTCTGATGTATTAGTTGAAAAATATGTTTATAGAGTATGAGGTCCAGGATCCGGATGTCCTGCATCCGAAATGATCTAATGTCTGGACCACTAGGTGAAAACTAAATGAACAGATAAAACAAAATAATCTAAAAAAAAAAAAAAAAAAAAAAAAAAAAAAACCAATCCCCTTCAAAATCTGGGAGTGGAGAATATAATATTCAACAACAAAAAACAGGTGTGCTATAAATGTAATTTTCTCCTTACTAACTGGCATTCTTACCTGTCACATTCAAGCATCTGCTGTCTAGGGAAATGGCACACATGTTAGTACTGTGCCCAGTGACAAGTGACAATACATTGACTGGTGATGTATCGATAATGGCCAAGGTCATACTTTCAGTTCTCGAGTGATTGTAGGGAGGAGTTTACTATCTGACCTAAGTGAAATCCCAATGTAGCCATGTCTACATATCATCTTACTACATTTAAACTAATTATAAAAAATCTAGAAATATTTGGAATTGTTGAAATCCTGACAATTCTGGATCTCAAACTTTGTACTGTATTTCATTTTGAATGTGTAGTTCACTTTTTAAAATTTATTTCAGGATAAATCAAGTGAACTTATTGATGCTTGGTCATATAAAATTCAGAAGAATGGCATAAAATTCACATTTATATCATCATCGTCTAGTTCACCTAAAGGAGGTATGCTGTATTTCTGTGTAATATGCCTTATATAATACACAATGCCTTCAAAATATTAAAAATATATAATATCAAAAACCTTATATCTAGAGGGTTTTTGGGAGGGCCCCAAGCTAAAGCTTGTGTAGCTTATACATAAATCCTGCACTTTGTGTATATTTTGTCAGAAACAGAATGGCCTTTTAAAAAAATAGTTCATCTTATTCTTAATCTTAAGTAATGTGAGGAAAGTTAGCTGAAAATGATTTTTCTTATTTTTAGGATGAAGAAAAAAATTAAAGAAAAGGAAACAAAAAGTGCTCTTAAATAATTTGAAGAACATTTTAATTTTTAAGAAAAAAATCCGTCTCTTTTTTATAAAATATAGTGACAGAACTTTTCAAAGGGAAAGAAAATATTTCTAAAATTAAAATTCTAAAACTTTAAAACACTTTAGCTTAAGAGCTTGGTAGAAAAAAAAAATAAATAAAAAATAAAAAATAAATAAATAAATAAATAAATAAATAAATAAAATAAAATAAAATAAAAAAAATAAAATAAATAATAAACAAATAATAATAATAAAATAAAAAAAATAAATAATTTTCTTCTATTAGTTAATTAAAGTTTTGGAACAGTTCCTGGCTGTTAATTTTGAAACTATTTATTTTTACTTCATGAAATGACAGATATTTTAAGTTTATGAAAAATTAAATATTTAATTTATTTTTTCTTCGTATATGCGTTTTAAAAATAGATGTTAATAGTAATTATTACTGCCTCATTATATTTGTCGAGTGCACTTTTTCCCCTTCTTAAATAGGTAGTTGATGATCATATTTAAAATAATGATTTATAATGCATGGATACGCTCATTGCCATAAAAATTTGTGCACCAAGAAATAATTGTGAGATCGTAACAAAACTTGGCATGAAGGTACATATCGGGTAGATATGCAAATGGTTAGAAATCCAGCATGATTGTGCATTGTGTAATGCCACTAGAGGGCGTTGAACTTTATTCTTCTTGGAGTATAAAACAGGTAAGCAGAGCTTGTGTACTTGTGTAGAGAGAGTTTACTTAATCTTTTGCTGAGGAAGCTCTGAGGTAGACATGCCATTATGCCACCATCGAAGCCAATATCAGCAGCTGTCAGAGTTTGAGAGGGGAAGAATCATCGGGATAATGGAAGCTGGCCGGTCAGCTCGGCGAGTAGCTTGTGAGGTAGGCTGTTCTAATTTTACTGTGAGGAGATATTGGAACCAGTGGGCAGAAGAGACATAATTATTCGGCGACTAGGCTCAGTCAAGAAGACCGTCGCATCATACAACAGGCACGTATAGAACCAACTGCCTCATTAGCCGCTATCCAGATGCAGGTAGCAGCTTCATTACGGGTCCCTGTGTCTCCCCGAACCATCGTAAGGTGCCTGGTTGAAAAACATTTGGTATTGCGGCACCCATTACGTGTGCTGCCAATGACACCCACCTATCAACACCTTCGTTTAGAGTAGTGTCGTGCACGACAGGATTGGATTTTGGTGGAATGGATCCAGGCCATCTTCAGCGACAAATCTAGATTTAATTTGACCAGTGATGACAATTGTGTTTATGTGTGGAGGTCCCATAGTGAACACCTCAATCCTGCCTTCGCTTTACAGCGACACACTGTTCCCACAGTTAGTGTGATGATATGAGGTGCCATTGCTTGCAATACATGGTCACACCTAATATTGATCCATGGCATAACGACAGGACAGCGGTACGTCCATGACATCCTTCAGCCACATATGTTGCCACTCATGGCAGGGCTCCCAGGAGCCTGTGTACAAGAAGACAATGCTCGACCACACACAGTACGGATCTCAAAAGACTGCTTCCACATTACACCCTTACCTGTCCTTCTCGATCCTCAGATTTTTCACCAATCGAGCATATCTGGGATCATTTGTGATGGCAAGTTGGACAGCCTACAAGGTTGGCTGAATTAGAGGCACATGTACAGCAACTGTGGAACGAGATGTCTCAGGAGACCATACGGAACTAGTATGCATCAATGCCCGCTTGTATCGCATCGTGCATTCAAGTTAGAGGTGGTCCAGCAGAGTACTAAAGTACTAAAACTTCCGTTTATGTGTACTTTTTTTTTTGCAATAAATGATCCTTTTTTCTTTGATTTTCTAATCACGTACTTGTATCAAAGTAGTACTTACATATGTAAAATTTCGTTTCATTCTGACAACTCTTTCTTGGTGTTCAAATTTTTATGGCAATGAGTGTACAGTCAAAAGTCTTTAATCCGGACATCCATAATCCGGAATGATCTATAATCTGGACCTCAAAGCTACAAACTTTCTGCGCATGCGCATAATACCTTTAAGCATGTGCATATGCATCTACACATGCACATAATACGTTTACACATGCGCATTTAATGTATAATGGACGGTATCACCTAAGCTAAAATTATCTAATTATCTATTTCAGTTAATGTTGTAGATTGCGTTGTACCTTAATCTTCTAATTGGATCTGGCTTATTATTTTTTGCTGACTGTTAGAGCAATTTTATAAAAGTAAGCATGAACTTTCAATTATGTCAAAAAGAATTTCCGATTCTGGAGCTACCATAGGATCTACAAAGAGAAAGCATGTTTCGATGTCCATCAAACAAAATGTAGTATTTCATCTCGATGTACTCCGTCTTTGATATGATTTAAATCAAATTCCTTGTCATTATAAATATCACGAATACACATCAAAATAGTTTTCTGGTTACAATTTTCTAATTTCAACTATGCGTAATGTATGCTTTATGCATGCGCGCATTGAAAGAAATGTTTAATAAAGTAAACAAATAAATATTAAGCTTTTTTTTTTGTAAATTTTGATACCCTTTAGATCATAATTGCTCTTTATTTCATAAATTATGGTTTCATATTTTTAATTTTATAATTTCTGCATGCCATCTTACCAGATTTAAACTGATGATCTATAATCTGGAAAAACCGATAATCCGGAATCGCCGAAGTCCCGACGAGTCCGGATTAAAGAGTTTTGACTGTATATAAAATTCTTTTATAAAAATCCTTGTATAACGTGAAAAATTTTTTGCCCCACAAGCACTTTTTCTTTCCTTGAGTAAAGGAAGAGAAATATCAACTTCTCAAATTAAAATTTGTATTGTTTTTCCTAGAATGAAATTTGGCATAGTTTTAACTAGAATATTGAAAGGGGAAATAAACTGAAATATTAATTGATATATAATGATTATTTAATTGAACTTATACGTGATTTAATATTATATCCAATAAATATTAATTAATGTTATTAAATTGTGCATTTATATATAACATCTTAATGTCAGTGCTCAGTTCAACTGAAAAATGTAACACTTCTTAGTAATAGTCAATAGTTTCATATGAGTGCTAAAAATCAACTAAATCTTAAGCTACAAACAGTAAACCCGTACTGAATATAGAGTAACAAAACAGGATTTTTTGATATATGTACTGAAGCCCTCATAATGTTGCATCCAAATGTAGAGGTTTTATTTCTTCCGCTAATCACCACTTCCTTAATTCAACTAATGGATCAAGGAATCATAAAAACATTCAAAACTTATTATGTCAGTACTATTTGTATTTCTCCTAATAAAGTTCAGTTATTATTTGCAGCTCTCCTAATAAAGCACTGTATGAAGAAACACATGACACACTAAAGGCGTTTGGAAGCAATTCAACATGAGACGCTGCCCAGAAATGATTAAACTTGCATGGGAACGAGTGAATTCATTAACAATGAATGGTTGCTGGCATCAGCACTGGCCAAAACATTTTCAACAACGTTAAAGGTTTTGCTTTGATTGAAAATGAAGCCAAGGAAATCGTACAAACTGCAAAAGTAATAGGTAGCAAAAGATTTTCAGATATGGAAGAAGGAGAAATCAAAGAAACAGTAAAGAAAATGATGATTCTAAAATGATAGTGTTATCTTATAATATCAGTCGAAAGTAAAAGCTGTAATAGAAGAATATAAAGCTCCTTTCACTCGTAAGGAGTTAAATGAATTGTTAAAAAAGAAACTGTCTGATTTTGTAATGAAAAGGGATCCAAATAAAGAAAGAAGAGGAACTTTACAAGAGGTATTGAAAAACATTTTGCTCCTTACTGTGAAACTTTTATTGAATTGCATCAGCCATAGTTCCAAGCAAAAATCACCAGCTATTTAAAAGAATAATTATATTGTAGAGACATTAGGATTTTTTGGAACAAGAGAGATTGAAAAATGGGCAAACGCCTTTGATGGGAATCGAACCACAGACTTCTGGAATATCGGCCCAGTATGCCGAACCACTACACCACGAAGGCATGCTAGGAAAAAGCAAGAGAAATACCATATATACTCCCCTTTTCAAAGGGTGACTGGGGTTTTTAGGGGACCCAATCGCCAAATCTGGGTGCGGAGAATCATCATCCAACAACCCTTTTAGTTTGGGTGCCACTGTAGAGATATTAGGATTTTTTGGAACAAGAGAGATTGAAAAATGAGCGAACGCCTTCGCTGAGAATCAAACCATGGACCTCTGGAATACCGGCCCAGCATGCAGAACCACTACCCGTTCTGGCCTCTCATTATTAAGCAGTAATAGAAATCCTTTCAATTTACATTTATTTCATTTTCCCTTTTAATTGCAATATTTAGATTTGTGTAAATAATACGTACTTTCTTTATCTGAACTATACCTAATATGTTTTTCCTGAAGAAAGTTAAATTCATGGAACACAATTTTACCATAGCGCAATGTGTTAATGACTTAACTCCCATGTTCAGCAAGGGTTTACTATAAATAAATAACTTTGATCCCTTTTAATTGATTAAACTTCAGTAGTGATACAAAATGTCTTGATGTAAGTTACCACCCATTTCTATGTTTTGTGAAATGTATTCAAAGCATGATTCATGCAATACTAATATGCAGCAAACTATTAATTAAGAAATTTTACATTTTAGGATAGTAGTTATGATTATTAATATAAATTGTGGCTGTTAAAATCTGAAACTGTATAAATTTGTGATTAATACATTTTAAGCATCAATAAAAGTTTTTAGGTATGTATTTAATAACACATATATTCGATTTTTTTACAGTGGGATTTGCAAAAAATGAAGCAGTCAAAAATAGCTGTGGGGAATATTTGTGCTTCTTGGATGCAGTAAGTTTTACTATTTTATTATTTTATGAAGCACGTTTATGGAGATTCTTCATTATTTAATTTCTTTAAATATAACACAGGGAGATAATATTTGGTGGCAACAATTTGAAAAGTGGTTTGCCAACTATAGTGAATTGATGCAAAATGCCAAAACGAAATTAATAGCCCTTCTGGGCTAAGAAAGAAAAAGTGAATCCTAGAGTAATTCAGAATGATTAATCTGATTTGAAATGACTTTATTTCTGAAATCTTTTAGTATAGAGGGATAAATATTACATGAAATGAAAAGAAAACTATCCAAGTATTTTATATGATTTCTTTTATTTAAAAGTGTAAAGCAAAGAAAAATTCAGTCAAAATAATCAAGTTGAAATTAATGCAGTCATTTCAATGTTATGTTATTTCTATGTTGTCCTTTCTGTTGTTCCTTAAAATTCTGTTAATGTCTCAGTTAAGTTCTTTAGATATACTAACATTTCATTTTTAGCTTTATCTGAACAAAAATATTGTGATGTCTAAAAAAATTACTTTTTAGTGTATTTTGCTAAAACCTCATGATCTGATTTAATTTTTTTAATGTGTATTTTTACTTAACCTAGAAAGAACAAGCAATCCAGTATCTAGAAATTTCTGTACGTTGTTATTACATATGTTTTATATTTTAATATGTTTGTAGAATAAGTCTTTGATTTTGTCTGTATCATTAAAATTTTCATATTATTAGTTGTGTTCTGAATTCTTTTGTATTTTGTTAATATTTAGTTGTTTGTTCATAATAAAATGCTATGTTTCTTTTATTCTATGATGTCATTGGTTATAACCTTCTTCTCTTCATTTCAATACCATGAATGAAATAAAAGTTTTTGATTCCAAGTAAATAAAATAAATAAGATAAAACATCCCAATTTATCTAGTAAATAAGATTCTATAACCGACTTCAGTTTACGAATAACAATAATACATTTATTTAAATCAATAATATTTTAAATTAATTACTTTCAAATATATAGCAATCTGGAAGAATTTTCATTTCTAAAGCACACTCCATTTTTAGTGACATTTATATCTGAAAAAGAGGTTAGCCTTAGAATCAAAGAAAACTGGTGGTTTTATAATTATTTTTGTGTCACTAAATTAAATAAATTTTGATTTGTACCCTAATTTTATGTATTTATTTTATTTGAAATTTAGGATGATGTTATGCATCCCTGTCGAGTTCGAAAACAGTATGAAGCATGTGACTCGAATGATGATATGGTATGTATCATTTTGTAAAATTTTTATTAATAGAACAAAATTCTGTATCAAATCAGTAAATTTTATTTCAGTCTCTCTATTTATATTTTTAATTGTTTGATTTAAACTGGGCCTTTTTTTACTACCTTTAATGTTTTATATAAAAAAAAATTGGCAAAAACCTAAAAATGGCCACAGTGGTTAGAGCCTAAGCATGTCTAGAGCCTGCCATTTAAAAAAAAAATTGCAAAGAATTGCTGATTAAAGTTTATTATATGAGTTTATTATGTGATTGTCAGGTATAATCATTTCAATTTTAGTTGTTTATCAGATAAAAATATCTCATTATGTTATTTGTTAATTATTTCTAATATTTTATGTGTCATAATGTGTGGCACATTTTGTATCAAATCAAAGAGAAGAGGCATTTATTATATTCTTCATGCTGGTGTTTTTTAGATTACTTCAGCATGTTTTAATGTAATTTAATGCAAAATTTATGTTTTTTAAATAATATATTTTTATTGTTGTCTTTCTGTATGTATTATTAACTACCTTTGCCATCAGTATCATAATTAACTCACTAAAATTATAGTCCTTTTAGATTCTTGCATATATATATATACACATATGGTAAGGAAACCTGAGACACAGCATCATTATTAAAAATTTGAGACTAAACATTTCCATGGAAATTTTAACACTGTGAATATTAAGATTATAAGAAATCTCTATCTAAAAGAAACCTTATTTTCTTTTAATTTTTTAGTTATTTTTCTTTGAATTTTTCAGTATTGATTTTTTTTTTTTTTTTCTTTAAAGTCCAAAGGGGCAATTTGCCCTCAAGAACTATTAATTTTGTTTTGGCATTTTGCGTCGAAAACTTTAAAAGGCTAAATCACTTTTCAAATCATTGCCACCATATATTATTGCCCTGTCTTATACTTAAAGAAATTAAATAATGAAGAACCTGCTTAAATGTATGTATGTTTCTCACATTGTGATAAAACAACAGTTACCTAGAACCATCAAAATTTGAATAATGTAATTTTCCATAGAATATGGGCATGTGGAAGCCCTAATTTGAATTTGAAATTTGTTTTATTATTGATTTCAGATTTTGTAACACTTCAACAAATTTTTTATTAAAAAAACTGAACGATTTCAAAGCGAGCAATGGCAACACTGCACGAAAAAAGCATTTTTATCTCCAGTGTGCGAGACTCTGTATTGGAAATTCTAAAGATATGCTTGTTTTAAAATTAATTTTAAAATTAATTTAACGATATTGCTGTTGAACTGAATTTTATAGTTTATAAATATAGCACACAAAACATTAAAAAAACACCCCTTTGGACATAATTTAAAATCTGAAACCCTTCAGTTTTTTTTTTCCTTAAGTTGAATGTTGGGCACTTGCCTGTTTAATGTGTCGTGGCCTAGTTATTGCATGAGAAATAATTATTTTTTATTTCATATATTTGTTCATGTGTTTAATTATTTTATAAAACTATAATATTTTGTTAATATTCATATTTATATTTCTTTTATGCTGAATAGCAACAAGTAGTTCATATTTGTATTTAAATTTCTTTATGCTGAATGGCAACTAGTTCTGATTCATGATTGCTTGTTTTTGGTTTCAAAACGTTGCTATTCTAGTAGCGTTGCATTTCAATAACTGGAAAATAAAAAGCAATACACTTAGCTATTTATAATTCATGCTGTTCCTAATCATAAGTTAGTTTTGAACATTAGTAGCCAAGGCCACATCGTGGTGACCCTTATTAATTTTTGAAATGTCACTAAATGACTCTTCTGAAACTGTTACGAAAGATACGATCCAGTCACCGGAGCTTCATAAGGTAAGTGTAAAAATTCCTCCTTTTTGGACTGATAGACCGGAAATATGGTTTTTTCAAGTTGAAGCTCAGTTCAAAATTAGTAATATCGTTTCAGAAGAAACAAAATTTAATTATTTAGTTTCACAGCTTGAACCTAAGTTCGTCGAAAATATTGGGACATTGTAACGAACGATAGTGCCACAAAATATTCGGATGCTAAAATTAGGTTATTACATTTATTCAAAGAAAGTGAAAATGTACGGATTAAACGTTTGATTACTGGTATCGAACTTGGAGACATGAAACCAAGCCAACTTTTGCAGAAGTTGAGATCAGTTGCTACTACAGATGTGTCTGAAAATTTAATCAAAACATTATGGCTGGGGAAGCTACCTGACTCAATAAAAATGTATTATTAGTTAGTGATGAAGATGTAACCAAGTTAGTGTCTATGGCAGATAAAATTAGTGATATGAATCAGAAATCAGAAGTATTTAGTGCTAATGCTCCTTCCATTCCTGTAAAGGGTTTGTTGCAAAGAATTACCTCTCTTGGACAAAAAATTGATAAAATAACCATTCGCTCAAGACGCAGGGACTCGGATTTACGTAATTCACGTTCACGATCTCGTAAATGATATGACCCTACTGGCAAATTTTGTTTCTATCACTTTCGATTTGGAGCAAAATGTATTCCAGAGAAATGCCGGCCTCCGTGTGCTTGGGTAAACAATTCCAAAAACCAGGAAAACTCGAATCTGCAGTAGGTTCAGCGGCAAACGCTTCTGCAGAAAATATGAAGGATTGTCGCAAATTTCGTTTATTCGTTCGTGACCGAAGATCAAATTTGCACTTTCTTATTGATAGCGGAGCTGACGTAAGCATAATTCCTGCTACTTCACAGAATAAATGTAAAACTGAATACAAACTGTATGCAGCTAATGGCACAGATATTTCCACTTATGGCATAAAAACGCTAACTCTTGATTTGGGATTACGTCGTGATTTTCAGTTTCCATTCATAATTGCTGATGTCACAAAAGGTATTTTAGGAGCTGACTTTCTTCACAAATATAAATTGCTTATCGATATAAATAAGAAAAAATTAATTGATGGCGTAACACAGCTTTGTGTCCTGTGGGATATCGCTGCTATTTCCAGTGATTACTCAGTAACCACATTAAATAAATCCATAAAAATTTTCGATTTACTGTCGAAATATCCCGAAATTTCTAAACCTAACCTTTTTTCTACACAAATTAAACATGGTGTTACACATTTTATTACGACTGTTGGTCAACCCGTTTATTCAAAGGTACGACAGCTCGATCCAAAACGCTTAGCTAAAGAGGAATTTAAATTTATGCTTGACAATGGAATAATTCGTCCATCAAACTCCCAGTGGTCAAGCCCCTTGCACCTTGTTACGAAAAAGGATGGTTCATATCGTCCTTGCGGGGACTACCGACGATTGAATGCACAGACGATACCTGATCGATACCCAATTCCTCGCATTGAAGATTTTCATCATATTTTAAGTACAAATATTTTTTTCTAAAATTGATTTATTCAAAGCTTATTTTCATATTCCCATTGCAGAAGAAGACAAATGTAAAACGGCCATTATCACTCTTTGCAGTTTATACGAATTTAATGTAATGAGTTTCGGTTTAAAAAATGCTCCTGCAATGTTCCAACGATTTATTCACAACGTTTTTGCAGTAGGATTCATTAGAATTCATTTTTCAATATTTAGACGATATACTCATTGCATCCAGTACCCATGAAGAACACAAAAAGCACCTTACATTAGTTTTCGAAAGATTAAATACATTTGGGTTAAGAAATAATATTTCAAAATCTGCGTTTGCTGTTCGACAAATCGAGTTTCTAGGCTACCTAATTACACCTAAGGGTTCCCATCCTTTGCCAGAAAGAGTTCAAGCTATTACTAACTACAAACGACCAGAAACAATTCATGAACTTAGAACTTTTCTTGGAATACTTAACTTTTATCGTCGTTACATAAAAGATGCAGCGAAGAATCAAGCATTGTTACATGCGTATCTTAAGGGAGCTAAAAAGAGGGACAAACGTAAAATCGAATGGACTGAAGAAGCTGAAAAACAGTTTGAAAAGTGCAAGAATGACCTGGTGAACACGGCACTGTTGTCTTTTCCCAATTCTGAACTACCTCTGGCGTTATTTACAGATGCTTCAGATACGGCGATTGGCTCAGTGTTGCAACAATATGAAAACTCCTCGTGAAAACCAATAGCATTTTTTTCTAAAAAATTAAATGATACTCAGCAAAAATATAGCACCTATGATAGAGAATTATTAAGCATATATCTTTCAGTTAGACACTTTAAGCATTATCTAGAAGGAAGAGTATTTACAATTTATACAGATCACAAGCCCTTAATATTCGCCTTTCGTCAAAAACTTGACAAAGCAGCACCTAGACAAGCTCGCCAACTTCAATACATCTCCCAGTTTTCGACTGATATCAAATATGTAAAAGGTGAGAATAATATTATGGCTGATACATTATCTAGAGTTAATGAAATTTCATCGATAGATTATGATAAAATAGCTGATGAACAGACTCAAGATGAAGAACTGAAGAGTTTGCAAACCACTACTTCCTTGAATTTAAAGCAATGTTCTCTACCTTCGGGGAAATATTTGTGGTGTGATACATCAACTAAACATATTCGGCCGTATATTCCTCAGGCTTTCAGAAACACGTCTTTCAGTGAATTCATGGTTTATCACATCCAGGAATAAAATCGACTATGAAATTCATAACATCAAAATTCATTTGGCCTAACATAAAAAAAGATGTACAGTTGTGGACAAGAACCTGCATTCCTTGCTAAAAAGCTAAACTCAGTCGGTGTACCAAAACAAAATTAGGTGAGTTTGAAGTACCACCAGGAAGATTTTATGTCATCCATATTGATCTCATAGGACCACTTCCCCCATCTAAAGGAAATGTTTATTGTCTTACTTGCATTGATAGATTTTCAAATTGGATGGAAGCAACTCCTTTAGAAAATATTTCAGCTGAGAATGTTGCTAGAGCCTTTTATAGCAACTGGATTGCGTGTTTCGGAATGCCAAGTAAACTCATTAGTGATTGTGAATCCCAATTTAAAAGTGATACATTACAAGCTTTGTCCAAAATCTGTGGCATCTATTTACAACACACTACTGCCTATCACCCCTCGTGTAATGGCAAAGTTGAGCGCATTCACAAACATTAAAAACAGCATTAAAAGCCCACAACAACATATATTGGACGGACACATTACCAACGGTACTTTTGGGTTTGTGTACTGCTATTCAAGAAGATACAAATCATTCTGTTACGCAAGTAGTTTATGGCCAGAGTCTCAGACTTCCTGGAGAGTTTTTCAGCGAACCAAGTATCCAGACAGCATCAGAGACTTTTGCTAATAACCTCCAGAAACAGATGGAAGTTGTTGGACCTACACTAATTCGTAAAAATTCATCTGAACGGATATTTGTACATAAAGACTTAAAAAATTGTTCTCATGTGTTTCAGTGAATAGATCGGGTAAAAAAACCTTTGGAACCTCCTTATGAAGAACCATTTCCTGTTATTGATCAGAAGGACAAATATTTTACTATTAGCATAAAAAGAAAACATATTAATGTATCTCTGGATCGCTTGAAACCAGCATATATTTTAGCTGAAGAAAATTCTCAGTTGACACAACCTAACTACAGTAACCTGCAGAGACCGAAGTCAAATTCAGATGTGAATCAAAAACATTCTCGCACAGGCAGAACTATACATTTACCTGTTAGATTCAAGTACTCTAAATTATTCTGATAGTGGTTAACACTGCATTGCTAGTTACTACCTATTTCTCCCTCTTCGTAACGTAACTTAGTTACTGGTGGGGGAGTAGTGTAGTGACCTAGTTATTGCATGAGAAATAATTATTTTTTATTTCATATATTTGTTCATGTCTTTAACTATTTTATAAAATTAACTTTAATATTTTGTTAATATTCATATTTATATTTCTTTTATGCTGAATGGCAACAAGTAGTTCATATTTATATTTAAATTTCTTTATGCTGAATGGCAACTATTCATGATTGCTTGTTTTTGGTTTCAAAACGTTGCTATTCTAGTAGCGTGGCATTTCGATAGCTGGAAAATAAAAAGCAATAAATTTAGCTATTTGTTTATAATTCATGCTGATCCTAATTATAATTTAGTTTTGAATATTAGTAGCCAAGGCCACAAATGCATTAACCACTCCCAAGGCCAGAAGTTCTGGCCATTTTATTGTGGAGGCGCCTAATAGGTGGCCCCCATATGAGGGGACATACAATTTACATCGATATCTTCTCCGGGATTCGAACCCGGGCCCTTCGGTATTTCAATCGACTTCCCTAATCACTGTGCCATCTGGGCAGCTAGTCTTGATTGCATAGTTCAAGACAAGAGATTTGTTATTACATTTGCTACTTTGTTTTAAATTTTTGTAAAAGTATAAATAGTTTTTTTAGCATTTTAGTTTATTATTATTATTATTTGTGCATTATGCATTTATGTTTTTCATGTTTCAAAGATAGTTGGTTGCCAGTTTCATCGGGAGCCTGAGGATTCCACTCCTAGGTACACCAACTGGGCTAACAATTTAAGTTCATCACAACTTTACACTCAGGTAATAAGTGTGCATAAAACCCTTATTTTCTCAAATAATAATAGTTTCTGCTACTTTTACAGATAGCACAGTTAGTCTTCACAAGCAGCACTGTGAACTTCCTGAAACATGCTTGTATGACATTTATTTTGAGCCTAAAAATTTATTACCTAATCACTGTTAAAGTAACATCCATCAGAATACACATATATTTACTGCAGTCATTCCTGGAAGCACTGCGAAATGCCCTTTGTGGTGTTTATCATTGTCAGGCTGTCTCACGATTTTGAGTAACTTGATTGCCTGGAAACATTCATGTCATTAAATCATAAGAAAGAATAATTAAAGAATGATAAATTTGTCAAATAAGATAGTTTTGTTATCGTAAAGCTCTGTTCTAGCATTAGCAATGCCTTATATTCTATGATCATGTGATTCAGAGCTGTATTTTGATGAAGAATCCATCCAGTCTTTCTGTTTTTCCATCTCACGTTTTCTTCTGATCATCTTCACGTTGTTCAAATAAACAGGCCTTTGTACATATGCAAGGTTTGTATATAAAGTAATGAGATTAGCTTAGAAAGGGATAATCGTTTACAATTTATTAGCAAATATACCGTTTGTCTAGGTAAAAGTATATTTTGCACTCCCTGGCAATTTTTCGGCGTCACTCCTGTTTACATCCAATGCCCTACCCAGTAAAATGGTGTCCAAAACATAATGCAATAAAACATAATTAAAACAAAAAATATATAATCTCAATAAACTGTATTTTAAATCAAACATAGAAATAACATAAGAATGGAAATACATGCTATGTAATGTACACAATACAAAAAGGAAATATCGACTTAACCTTATTTAAAAGTATCTGTTTCTTGTACGTGAGACACACAGAATTCCTTAACAGCATGCAAAAACTATTTAAAATTATCTAAACTAGAATCTGTGTACTGCCATTGCCATATAAATTCACAAAAGTAGAAATAAAAATTATTCTGTGGACTGTCGATGGCATTTCTTTTGAAAATACCTTTTTATTACATTCCACATAATTTCCATAGTGTTGATATGAGCTCCGGTTTCCAAATCCTCAAATCTCATTGCGTAATTTACCAAGAGGTGAATGAAGCCATTTAAATCTTCATTTACACACTATTCAATCAATGTTTTCTTTCCCAATCGTTCTTAAGTGTACAGAAACTTCAGGTCAATCGTACCACCAGCAGGCATTTTTATGGTGTAAAGCACAAAATAAACAACATACTTCCTAACCAACATCCAACACATATATAAGCCCTTTTAAATATTTCCCATCAGTCAAATTCACCGCAATCACACAACCAATCATGTCATAATAGGGTTCCCATTACATTCAACTATTCAGGTTACCATAAATGAAACAACAACTTGGCGATAATCCAAGGGGCACTCTAAAATATAAAGTAATCCAAGTATTTGTACATATGCAAGGTTTATTTATAAAGTAATAGGACTAACTTTAAAAGGGATAATTATTTACAATTTATATCAAATATATTGTTTGTTCCCTTTGATGCCCTATTGGCAGTCGTGTGTCGACCCATTGTTATTTTCCATTGGTCGAAAGCTTTTGCAGTTGATTTTCTGATAACTGGGATGTTTTCTTCTTAACAGCCTCTACTGACTCAAAACAGCTTACTTTTAACACAGATTTTATTTCTGAAAAAAGGAAAGTCAGAGGAATATAGAGGGTGCTCAAGTGTTCCAATCCATTTTCAACCCAAAACTGCTTCACTGCACTGGAATTAAATTAATTAATTCACATGAAATTAAACAAAATGATTGATGTTTTGTTCAGTTTATCAAAAATTTCAAATTCACGTACTGTTCAGTTTTAATACTCGACATTTTTAACAGCAGGCAAGCTGAAATACAAGCATACTTAATCATGAGATAAGATAAACATGGTGAGGTAAAACACAAAATTAGGCAAAGCAAGAACCTTGTGTTTGGCATAGATTTTAATTAAGACTTTATCGATTACGAGGGCAAACAGCTACAGGTCTCTCTTCATCAGGAGCAAAAAAATCTTCAACAAAGGGAGAAAGCCATGTGCATATTCTTTTGCGTTTACTTTAGATGCTTTAAGTTTATTTTACTTCAGTCCTGCAGCTATAGTCAGGATAGGTATAAAAAATTTGCTTTTAGTTTTGCCTCTTATTAAGTTTCTTTATATATTTATATATACATATATTGTATGATCTTAAATTCACTTAGTTCGGAAACAAGTTTTTCTAATACTTGTGCAGTAGCTGCAAAGTAAGATAATAATAATTTATTTACTAAAGAAATATTGATTATATTATCTCCTAATATAAATTTAGTAGAAGTATCAAAAAAAGAGTGAACCCATATGTAGGAAGATTAATTCCGAAAATTGTGTTTTAAAGTAACTTGAATGTAAATTATTAAAAATGTTTTACAGAGACTTGAATTAAATCATGAATAACAAAATTTCAAACTTTGTAAAAGAAATTAAAAGCAAGTAATTATCGCTGTTGATTGGAAATTAGTTGACTTTTCAAGGGGAACAAACCAACTCCCATTCAATGAACAACAATTAATAAATTCGAAGGTATTTCATCTTTTACTCAAGTAAGAATGGTTATGCCAAACTGGCAAATTAAGTTAGGCCAAATAGTTCCGTGAAGTGATGGGATTTAGAACCAAAGTAGAGTACCAAAGAACTCATTCTGAATTAAGCATTTTCGCTAATACAAATTTTGAGTGAAAAGCAATTTATGTAGTAAAATTTATAAAATACTTGAGTAAATGTCCCTCGACACCTTCGCTTTTATGCATGTTAATTCAAAACTATTTGTATAAAAATTAAACAGTGGTAATCTAATAATTGGAATTATGAAATAGAACTCAAAGTAATTGAAATAAACATTAGCAAATTAAGAAACATAATGCTATCTTTGCAAACAAATCAAATAATAAAAATTGAAAAATTAATATATATATAATAAGAAAAAAATTGGAAATGTACATGAAGATATAAAAGGCCAGAAAATGCATTAATTAACTTACATTCTTTCTACTGGGATGTCGATGAAGTGTTTTCTTCGGTGTCTTACTCAGAAGGTTGTGTGTCCGAAATTCCATTATTGGCAGCGGGGATACTTTGAATTATTTCAGGCAGCGAAACTTCTGAGAAGTAATTTATGGGACATGGGAGGGACTAGAAATGCTTGAGGGACGTTTGTTGCGGAGTTCTTATGTGAGTGAAAACGTCTGTTCTTTAGTCTGTCAAATAGCTCTTTGACAGTGAAAATTTCTTTTTTTCTTTTCTTAATTTCTTAATAGTTACGACACAACAATTAGCCAGAAATTAATTAATTTCCATTCACTAGTATTTTCAAAAAAATTTTAACAGACGGTTTCACTCAAATAAGAGCTCCACAGCATATACGTCCCTCAAGAATTCCTAGTCCCTCCCAAACTACCATAAATTACTTCACACAAGTCTTACCAACTGATATAATTCAAAGCCCCCGCTGCCGATAAGAATTTCTGAAACACAACCCTTCTGAGTCAGACGCGAAGAAAACACTTGGCGCACTTCCCACTAGAAAGAACATAAGTTAATTAATGCTTTTTCTGGCCTTTATGTCTTCATGTACATTCCCTTTTCTTCTTATATATGTATTTTTTTAATTTTAATTTCTTATTTTTTGATTTGTTTTTGCAAAGATTGCATTATTTTTCTTATATTTTGTAATTTTCGAATGTTTATTTCAATTACTTTGAATTCTATTTCATATTGACAATTTCCAATGTTTAACTAAAATGCATAAATATGAGGGCGTCGGGGGACAATTACTTGAGCGATATCAATTTTACTGCAGAAATTGCTTTACACTCAAAATTGAATTAGCTAAAATGCTTAATCGGAATGAGTTCTTTGGTTCTCTGCATTGGTTCTTAATCCCTTCTTTTCACGGAAATGTTTGGCCGAGCTTGAATTGCCAGTTTAGCATCACCTTATTGCTCGAGTAAAGGACGAAACACCTTCCTATTTATTTCTTAATTATTGTTTATTGAACGGGAGTTGGTTTGTTCCCCTTGTAAAGTCAACTAATTTCCGATCAATGGCAATGATTACTAGCATTTAATTAATTACTTGCTTTTAATTTATTTCTTTTTACAATTGAAATTTTGTCATTCATGATTTAATTCAAGTCCCCGTTAAACATTTTTAACAATTTACATTCAAGTTACTTTAAAACATTTTTCGAAATTGAGCTTACTAAGTATAGATTCACTCTTTTAAGATAATTCTACTAAAATTAATCTTAGGAGATAATATAATCAATATTCTTTATATATATATACGACCCATTTGTCAAATTTTGCTTACATATGTTATCCCATAAGAAAAGAAAGAAAATTCAAGATAAAGTATATTTAAAGTTTAACTTGAGCAATGCATTGCATAAAGATGACTATAAACACATTTCTAGAATTTAAAATATAAAAAAAAATCAAATGAAATTTTTTAGATATGAATCTTAAAAAATAGGATTGTAGGCAAAAATGCCTGTTCCTTTCAGGTTTTATGTTATTTAACCTCTTTGTTTTGTAAGATAATTTATTTTTTAAATTAAGAAGTGTAATTTTTTAAATATGAACTATTAGTGTGTTATATTCATGATAAAAATTAATTACAGAATAATTTTTTAGCAAATAAATAAAAATAATAATTTGTCTTCGACTTCATGTCAAGTCTGTTGCCTGGAAATTATTTTACCTGCAATTAGTTTGTAAATCTGCCTAAAGGTGGTAGTAAATATTCAGTGACATAGATAAACTACTCAAGTTTGACTGCTTGGAATATGTAGTGGAGGAATACAGGAAAATTGTTACGTCTTCCTTCTCCCTAAAGTAATTGAAAACTATAAATATGGAAGGAGAGGGAATTTCACAATTTTAAAATGTTTAATTTTATGTATCATCATATGAGTAATTTTAAATGCACGAGAGTAAGTAAAAACAATATAATTGCTTTTAAATTGTTTCAAGGAAAACAAAGTTAATCAGTGTATTTAACTTGATGATGAAAAATGCAAAGTTTTCAACCCATACTCTTTATAAAGTGGATTACCTTAATCGTATAACAGTATGCTGCCATTATGGCCTCATTTGTACATTTTTAACAGTTATCTGTGGTCATGTGTTCTGTCTGTTAAAGATAATAAATGCTGTGAAATTTAAATAAATTGTAATGAATGATAACATTTTATTTATTATTGCACATTTCCAGATATATACAGCCTTTGGCCCTACTATTGTTATGCCAACGTGGTTTTGCCACCGAAATGTTTTTAGAAAAGTTGGTGGCTTTAGCGAAGCAGGAAAGGTAAATTTAGTTAATTTTTCTTTTAAATTTAAAATGTGTTAAAATTTTAAATGTTAAATTGCTATTGTGATGAATACCTGTAACATATTAAGTAGGTAATTTAGATAACATTAATTAATAAATTTAATAGAAGAATTGTTATTACATAATTATCTGATGTTTAATTAAAAACTTACATTGACATGGAAAGTTAAATAATTAGATTAAATAATCTGAATCTAGCTTTAGTTCAGTATTAAATAATATATTTAGCTTTGTATGATTTTCTGTACTTTCATACTGAAGCTATTTTATTATTATTATTAGTAGTAGTACCTACTTTGACATTTGGCACTACAGGGAAAGGGAGGGATGCCTGGTACCATTGGACAAACAGTTAAAATAAGCTTATTAAGGGAAACTGGCTCATATCCAGGATATACAGTGAAACCTCCTTACAACAATATTTTAGGGACCAAATAAATATATTGTTGTAGAGAGGTATATTGTTATATTGAGGGCCCACATATTTTGAGCATTTTTTTTTAATTATTATTATTATTAGTTTAAGGTGCATAACATACTACTTTTAAGTCTATATTTAGAAGAAATTAATTTGTAAAAATACTAATAATAGTGGTTTAAATACTAAAAAAATAAATAAATAAGATAAATTCAGAAAATAAGCACAGAAATATTCACATACCTGAAAACACTTTTTATTGAAAATAATCCAATATTTTTGTTTGTTTTTAACTGTTAAGTTCACCAATACTGTATGCATTGAGTCTAGTGCACGAAAATGTTCTTCATTTGTTGACGGAAGGCTTGAAAAAAATGTCCGTAGAGAATTCACAGATTGAAGAGCTTCCTGGGATGACAATAAGGACTGTGATGGACCTGTATTATCATCATCAATATCATCATCATCTTCATCATTGTTTCCTATCTCATCAGTAATTTCAGAGAGAATATCTTCATCAGTAACTCCTGTGAAAACCATAAGATCATCATCTGCTGTTAAATAGTCTTCTATACTAATTCCAAATTTTTTACCGCTTGTTTTCTCAAGTTGGGATACGGATTTTTTGATGTGCAAAACACATTCTTGATCATCTGAGAGATCATTGTCTATGGAATTTTCATCATTATCAGATTTCTTATCTTCCATAACACAAAGACCGGCCTTTTTCCAGCAATTCCGAATGGTTTTTTCTGTTACTTCCCACCAACTTCCAGCAATATTGTCACACGCTTCCTTGACATTTACAGCTTTGAAAGGGTCTTCTACTTTATTTTCAAAGTTTACAAGTATGGAGTCCACCAACCGTTTTCTGTAATATCCTTTGAAGCACTTAATTATGCCCATATCAAGAGGCTGTAAAATTGAAGTGCAATTGGCAGGGAAAAAAGCGATTTCGATATTTTGTAGCTTTGGAAATGACGTGTGAGCACCGCAGTTATCTATCAACAAAACGATTTTTTTCTTTCTCTTCTTCATTTCATTGTCTAACTTCTGTAACCATTCGGAAAAAAAATTTAGACGTCATCCAAGCCTTCTTATTTGCTTTATACTCCACGGGAAGACTTTTCACGTTCTTAAAGCACCTTGGCTTCAATGATTTACCAATGACGAGAGGTTGTATTCTATGCGTTCCTGTGCTATTTGTACACAGAAGAACAGTCAGTCTCTGCTTTGATTTCTTCCCTCCATAACACTTTTCACCCTTGAATGCCAATGTTCGATCGGGTAGGAGTTGGAAAAACAGCCCAGCTTCATCTGCATTATAAATGTCTTCTGGAGCATACTTTTCTAAGATTTCTTTCATCTTGTTTTGCCGCCATTCATTTGCGTCGTTTATCGGGGCTGACTTTTTCTCTCCGTGAACTTCTTGGAAAGTTATTCCATGACGATCTCGAAAACGCATTAACCAACCATTGCTAGCTTTGAAAGTTTCGTTCCCTAGCATTGCTGCAAATTTCCGTGCTTTTGCACATAATAAAGGTCCATTTATTGGGACATTTGTTGCTCTCATCTCTTGAAACCATTTTAAAACAGCAGCATCAATGTTTTCATTTGTCGCAACTTTCAGTCGTTTTCGCTCTGGGTTAATTTCATTTGAAGTTACAGCATCTTCGATTTGCTTTCTCTTCTTTAGGAACGTTGCAACTGTAGATTGCGATAATCCATGTTTCTTAGCCGCATCAATCTGCTTCATTCCCTCATCAATATCATTGATAACGTTCAGTTTATCTCGAAAAGATAGTTGCTTTCGCCCTGCCATCTTAGGGAACAATATCGCGTGAAAGAAAGAAAAGTTTAAACCAAATGTTTCGCGTAGAACTCAAAATCGTTAAAGACTATAAAACAACCTTTGAACTCACTTTTCAGTACGTCACTTAACAACACCCCGCCTCCATCTCCCCCTGTTCCTCTAACAAAGGGCACTTGTTCTGTGACAAGGTGACCAGACAGGTCTAGATGTCCTTAAACCTTATCAGAATTCCAAAGCTTACTGGGAAATGAGACTAGGCATACATTTACACTTCACCCCCCCTCACCCACTCCAATTCCCAAAAGGGTGGTCTTCATCTGTTTTGAAATCTGAACAATAGCTATTTATTCAGGGATAAGTTGAATATCCACAATGAGTCTTAATAGACGGAAAAAAATAACAAAAGAAAACGAAAAAAAAAAAAAAAAAAAGCATTTGAAAATCAAAATATTATTATAAAGGGAGAAAATAATACTGAAATTTAGATTGAAAAAATCGTTTTACAGAGGTTTATTGTTCTAGAGAATATAGCAATATTGAGGGGAGATTAACATTAGTTTATATGCAAAATCACCGGGACCACAAAACATTATTGTAGTAGAGGGAGTTATTGTTGTATCGGGTATCGTTGTAGCGAGAGTTTACTGTACGGAGAAGGCATCATGGCTGCGTCTGACCAGACTAAAGTCGCCTTCCTTGGGCTTTAAAAGACTAGCAAATTTTAAAATCGCGAATCAATCTATTAGTCAGTAGCTTTTACACTTTATATGAGGCTTTATTTATTTAAGGAAGGCTGTTGTGAAAGATGTTATAGAACAGTTAACATCTGTATCAGAGCAGAGAAACAAAACAATGCTCCCCAACTGTACATGAAAGCAAAAGCTTACTCTCATCAATAAATATATGGTTGTGAATAAAGATATGGTGGCTAGCCATTGCTAATTACCATACTGACTGGTGCTGATACTGCCATCATAAATTACATGTCACTGAAATTCTATTTGTTCTTTAACAAGATAGATGTTTGTGTTACATAAAATGCAGCTTTATGTCAAATGTGAAATAGGCCATATAATTTTACTGTAAATTATAAAGTTGTTTTGTTATCAACATGAGCATAAGAATAATATGAATGATAGTAATTATTAATTTGTATTATTTAATTTATTACTTATTGTATTACTCTTTTATTCAACCTTTCTTTTATTGTCTTAAAATTAGTCCAAATAATAGTCATACAGTTTCTCTAAATATCTGTATAACATTTATAACATATGACAAACATAGAGGAAAAAACATGTTTTATGCCAAGACAAGCAAAAACTAGGCCACATGCATTACATGGTTAGTAAGTGATTACATAGTTAGTTAGAATTACAAGTAAGGAAAAAAAAAATTTTAAGGCAGTTTAAAGGACTGCATCAAATATGATAACATTCTTATTGCTTTATAGACCACGAATATACACAGGGCCTGACTACTACCTAGACCCAGAACTGGATTAACCATTAAGCAAAATACACATACTAGGAAACACTTAAGCATGTGTGCTGGTATGGAAAACCAGTTGTCTTGAGAATGGCTGGAATGGAAAAGAATATTCATAATAAAATCATGGAAATTAAAAGAAAACATTTTAAATCTTAATTTTCAGTTTAATAAGACTTTTGTTGTTGTTATTAATGATGAATGAAGTTATGCTGAATACAGTCAAAAGTTGTTAATTCGGACACCCATAATCTGGAATGATCTATAATCCGGACTTCAAAGCTACAAACCTCTGCACATGCGTCGCGTTGACGCATGCGCGTAAGACCTTTACGGCTGCGAATATGCTTGTGCACGTGCGCAAAATATGTTTACGAGTGCGTGTTTAATGTATAACGGACGGTATAAGCTAAGCTAAAATTATCTATTTCAGTTAATGTTGCAGATTGCATTGTTCCTTAATCTTCGAATTAGATCCGACTTATTATTTTTTGCAGACTGTTAGAGCAATTTTATAAAAGTAAGCTTGAATTTTCGATTATGTCAAATAGAATTTCTGATATATATTTATTAATATGTAAAAGATCTACAAAGCGAAAGTATATTTCGAAGTTCATTAAACAAAAAGTGGAATTGCTGCAAAAAAAACAAAGCCATATCCTTTGTTTATCTAAACTTTAACGTTTGTTTATGTAAACTTTGTTTATCTTTAACGCCGCGGCACGCAATGAATTGGAAGTTGATCTGTCAGCACTATCCTTATCTTCAGGGCAGATGTTTTTATTTTATTTGGCTTATAATTCCTTACTAAATGAAGTATTTCATCTCGATGTACTCCATCTTTGATATGATTTAAATCAAATTCCTCATCATTATAATTCGCTTCCGATAGTGAAGAAAGTAACAGAGGTTATTGAAAACGAAAAAATTTCGTTTGACAAATTAGTCGGTAGACACAGCAATTATACGACTTGAACAGCGGAACTTTGTAACTGAACAAGCAATTATGTCTGTTTATAGAATTAAAGAGAATGTATTATCACATGAAAAATGAAGCAACTTAAACAACTTACATTGAAAGAAATGTTTAATAAAGTAAACAAATAAATATTAATCTTTTTTTTTGTAAAGTTTGATACCTTTTAGATCATAATTGTTCTTTATTTCATAAATTACGGTTTCATATTTTTAATTTTATAATTTCTGCATGCCATCTTACCAGATTTAAACTGATGATCTATAATCCGGAATCGCCGAAGTCCCGACGAGTCCGGATTAACAACTTTGTACTGTAGTTGAGTATCATTCGTAAAATAAGGCAGAGGGAATAACATAAAAATGTTAAATAGTGAGAAATGTAATGTATTATTTACATGTCAATAGTATGCGGTCATCCAGCAAGTTCTGCTGTTTTTCAAATTGAACAAATGACAATTTTATTAACAGAAATTGAAATAAAAAAAAAAAAAAAAAAGGCGCATATTTGACCAATCATTGTCTAACAGTCTTTCAGTCTAACAGTGCTTGGCCCCACATTTTGGTTAATGCCAGAAAGATTTGTTGAGTATGGCTGAGATGTGTTGTCACTTCCCATATTCACCACTCTCAGATTTTCATCTTTTCAAATTACTTCAGAATTGTGTGAATGGAATCAAGTTTATACCTATCATGAACAACAGAACAAGTCTGATTTTCACCCTGTCTTCGCCTCTCCTGGTCCTGGGCTTCGTCTGCGTGTTTCTCTAAACTTGTGACGTCATGCTGTCACCCCCTCTTTGCACGACTGATGCCTCCTTTCAATCGTCATTGCCAACTACCGTCATGCGCCCTTCAGGCCGAAATGCTATGAGCCGGAAACGTTGCGTAAAAACAGCAATATGCCGGCAATATTGATGATGATGATGATGATGGCCTCAAGTGTCTTCACTGGCGACTGTTAAATAGCACTTCAATTATATCTTTGCGAATAAACTTGATAAGTTTTTTCCCAACTGCCACGGAGATAGCAAAAGGTCACAGAATAAAAATAGTGCATATGTGATTCACTGAATTTTCTTATGCTTTTGCATTGTTTTGTTTGTATGTATCATTAAAAAATCACAATTTCTGGATGATGCAATAATTTTTTTATGAACATTATATATTGTAATCAAACAAAATCAGATCTTAATATAGTAATTTCAAATATGCTATTAAGTTACAAATTATAATATAAATAACTTTGTTAACTCTTAAGTTATAAAACGTGTAATGCACTGAAATAGAGTATACTAATAACCTTCATGAAATAAAATTTTTGAGAAACATGAAAGACTGTTTCAATAACTTTCATTAAAATCAATAACTATATTTGATAAAATTTTCTTTAATTATACTTGATGTTAAAATACATTTTAGGGTACACCAGAAGACCTTTTGTTTTTCTATGATCACTTAAAAATGGGAGGAAAGTTATTAAGAGTTGATGAAGACCTGTTAATGTACAGATACCATGCTGCAGCTACTACATTTTCAGTCTCTGAGTATAAATATTTTATTAAACTGTTTTTTGCAGTGTTGAAAGGTTATATAATATGCTATTCATTTTTCATAACATTTTCTTTTACGTATCAGGTGTAATTTATTTGCAAAACAAAAAATTTATTAAGGAATTATTATTGCTATGTTCTAAAAATTATTTCTGTTTTTAATTACAAACATGTTTTTTTGTGAATAAACAAGTTTAATAAGCCAAAACAATGAAATTTTCTTTTCCGCTTTAATTGAATTGAGCATGATATACATGTGAAAGCAAGAAATATATTTGATATTTGTCTAAATTAATTCTTATCCAGGCATATCTCATTTTAGTATGCTTCATATTATAATGTTTCATAGTTGTTGAGCCTTAGGCATCCATCTCCTTTTGGCAGATAGTCTTAAATGCTTTGCTATAACTAATTAAACAAATATTCATACTGCTTTTTTCTGCAGATGGAAGGTCTGTGATTATTCTTCAAAAGTTAATAAGTTGTCGTTCTTTCATCTACCGTGTGTGCTTACTTTGTATCCTTGTATAACATTATAGTAATTCTAGCAATATTTCAAACATACTTTTATTGTCTTAAAATTAAGCCAGATAATAGTCATGCAATTTCTCTAAATATTTTGAGATTGATACTATATCGTACCTTCAAAAGATTATTCTTTAATTTTGTCTTTTAAAAGAATTTTATCCACCTCATGAAAGTTTCGGTTTATTATGGTATATTTTTTTCAATTATTAGAATTGCATAGATGATAGGCCTTAATTTTAAATTTATTCACTAATTTTAAATTCAAAACTCTAGAATTGTCTAAAAATGAAAAGAAAAATTAAGTCTTTCAATAAAATAGATAGAAACATGCAAATGGGGGAAGAGTAGAAAGTGTATGTGAGGGGTAACAAACTCTTTTAAGTGCTTAGGACCTTCAAAAGTCTTAAACCAACTCTGCCTAGGCCTAGCTCCCATATTTTAGGGGGAGCCAAAATCCCCATATTAATTCATTATCGTCCTTTCCCTCCCCCCTTCATAAAAATTGTAAAAGTCAGTGCTGGAAACTTCTGAAAAAATTTTGTGCCTCAAACCCCAAATGTCTTAATCTTCTCCTGAATTAGGAAAAAAAAAAAAAAAAAAAAAAAAAACCTTATTGCTTCATTAACTACACCAGGTATAGAATTAACATAACTTACCTACATGCACTGAAGATCAGTAATTTCATTATGTTTTATTGTAGTATTTTCTAAATCGAAAAAAAAAAAGAATCTGATAGACATTAATCTTCTTCTTCTATCTCTGAAAACAAACATATAAAATATATCTCCTTTTTGAAGAATTTTCAGAAAATATTTTGGGCAAACAGATTTAAATTGCCAGCCTGGAGAAAAATTTTACCTTTCTTAATGCTGTATTCTCAGGCCTTTCCTCCCCCCCCCATCAGAGTTTTACTAAAAAGTCCATTACTTAAAGTTTTTTAAGAATATAAATGTTCAACAGGATTTAATAGGTTATTGAAAGCATACATATTAGGCTTCTTAAATTATATTGGAAATAAAAAAATAGTGGTATAAGTGCTAATATATGAATAAAATATAGAAAAAATAATATAAACATGAAATAATTCAAACATGAAATAAGTTCAAAAATTAGTTTCTTTCATTTTCAAACCTATTTCTTCTGTCTGCTTTTTCCCAGGGACTTTTCCCTGTTGTATATATTCATAATACAACAGGGAAATTCATTCATTTTTCTAAAAGTATTATTTTTGTACATTTTAACTGTAAATGGCCCAAAAATTAAATGTTTTTTTCAACCACTTGTATTAAAAAGCAAAGTAAAATATCTTTTTGAAATCAGTTCAACATTTCTTTAAATAAGATAAAAAATAATGCTAAAATTATATGATATAAAATGCTGATATCTATTATATATTTTGCAGGGAAACAGTGTGGAATGTACGTCTTAAAGAGCTGGAAAAGAATGTTTTAGTTAATTGGGCAACTTTTACAATATGGAATGCAGGAAAACAAGGGCGTAAATTTTACAGATCTTTATCACCGGAAAACAAAGAAAAGGTCTGTCTATTTTGCAAATTAATTCAGTATAATAAAATTTCAATTTTCAAAAGCTGTATCTAAAAAAATATAACAACTAATTTTATTAAAAAATATAAATTAAGTAAATGTATGCTTTTTTTTATGTATTTTGAAAAATGGTTATAATAAACTTCCTTTAACTTTTATGGAGAAATATGTTGAAACTAATATCTTGAACAAATATATATGTAATAAACTGATTTAGGAATGGCTGCAATGCACTTGATGCATTTAGGGAGACACTTGGAGACGGGCATGGAAATAAATTCAACACAATTTTTTTTTTTTTTTTAATAATAAAGCATGCCTTGAGAAGCAATATTGATTCATTATGGGTGTGATATACAAACCATAATTTTATATAACATATCACATCAAAACAGAATGGCAAAATATGCGTGCATATTACCAGCAGCAAAGCAAAGTGAAAAAAGAAAAGTATGTGCACATTTAGAAGAATATTCAAAAGGTCCTTTAATATGACTGGATAAAAGCTGTAGCTTGCAGGATTACATAAGCAAGCTGGATGGATTAATTTGGAAGATGCAGTCCAGTAAAATTATTATAAATAATTTCAACTATTAGAACATTTCGAGTTTCATATTTTATATCTTACATAAATATGTTAGATAAAACAAGATGAAATTCAAAATTACTCACTTTGGCAAGAGTTGTTTAAATTCCTAACTTTAATTTGACTACATTCCCTTCAAAGAATCTGTACTATGTCACTTCTGTCATTATTTCATATGCAATGCTGTAGGGCTCTTGATCAATCACCATTCAAAACTGAAACGAAGGAGTCAAGTTAATAAATACGCTAGCTGCTGAATACATACTTTTCTCTTCTAATCTCACATACATAATTAATTGTGTTGCTGCTTTCATCTATTGTTTAAAGATGTGATATGTGTGAATTAAAATTGTAGAGTGTTTATAGCACTTATAATGTTGTATAAACCAAGATGAGATGTCTTAAGATATGTCCAAGAAATTATTCATTAAAAAAACAGTGGTGCTGTGACTGTCAAGCTAGTTGTGCTTTTTGAAATAAAGTAGCAATCTTATAAGCAATCTGTATGTCTGCGATGTTTGTCACTATTTAGGCCATGAAAAAATTGATGGATAAAGGTTTCAAATTAATCACTTTTGCTTCTTTTCCCATCTTCTACCTCTGCTACCACTTACCCCTGACATTTCCACGTATAGGTTCCTATGCAATTCTTAATCCTTGTGTACTACCCTAACGTGCCCTATCTGTCCTAGAAGTTTGTTGCAACATTTACGGTACACCCTGTATACAAAAATCAATCATTTCCTTTACCTTTTTTATTTTTTAATTTTCCTTATAATTGCAATTAGTAGGAACAAAATATATGTATTATATGAAATAGAGTTATTTCAGAATATTGTATGTAGAATTAATGAACTGTGAAATTTGAGTGAGTTTGACTATCATATATGCTGCTAATCAAATGATAATACTGTTTAGCTGTTGGTAAGCATTACAAGAAAAGAAGTGAAGATAATCCACTTTGAACAGAAAGCTATACAAATATATTACTGAAACACAGTTACACATATTTTTTTCAAATGGCAAAAATGATTTCTATGATTTATTCAAAATAGCTGCACTATTATTTATCCAGATGAACGAGGTTCTATGGCATCAATTAGAAAGAAAAGGTATTTTTGCTACAGATATAAATGCAGTTGCTGGCAACAGAAATCTGTTATAGTATATATATCATGTTGAAATATTCTTGGTTTCTGCAAAAGACAGTAATTATTTAAAAAAAAATAAACCTGCCTTAAATATCATGTTGAAATTTGTGTGAAAATCATTATACTGAAAGCAATAAATCCCTTAAGTATGAAATACAATAAATTTGCAATATAATAATACAATAAAACAATAGAGTGTTTTCAGTAATTACATTTCTTGTCCTGGCAAAATAAAAATTATTTCCATTTGGGGGAAATATTTGTTGTATACCTTTATGTCCAAACAATCCAGTGAAATAAGTGCACAGCTATTTCTTCAATAATTAAGTCTTTTCCTTGTTAAATAAGTGCACAAGACTTCATCATGTGGCATTCATTTATGGTAAAATATTGTAATAGGAATTTTTCCCCCTTTGGTTGGCATTGCTGTTTTTAACAGATTAACTGCCGACAATGGAGATCACCCACGGCTGGCACTCGACTTTGCTACAGCACCAAAGGGGCCACTGGCAATGTGACCAATACTAAAAATGCATAATTAGAGTAAATATAGATACTGATAAATTTTTAAATAATACCATTGTTACTGTAATGGTTTGAAGAATTAATAAATCGCAAAATGGTCTGCAGCACCTTGGGGAGTCACCAGTGACCCCAAACATGAAAAATGCATTAAATACAAATATATAACTCACCTTATCTTCTGTAGATAATACTTAAACACAATATACATTGCATGATAAAAATTTCATGCTGGGCTGTGGGCAAACCACATAAAATGTGCATGGCAGTCAATGTGTTAAGATCTCATTTTAAATACCTGATATTTATATTCAATATCTTGAAGAATTTCTGGACAACTATTGTTTAAGACATTAAATTATCCATATCATGATTGGATTGTAATTTCCTTTTAATCCCGTAATTGTTTTATATAAACTATCCACATCAAGATCAGATTATAATTTCTTTTCAATCTCGTAATTTTTATATATTATAAACATGTAAGCATTTTGTTAACATTTTAAAACTTAACAGTGTTTATGCTGCGATTTGAAATTTTCAGATGACTGTTTTTATTACATATTTTCAAAAATTTTTATTTTATTTTTAAATAAAAAATGGTCATGTAAATAATTCACAGGTACAGACATTTTGCGATGTTGATATAAAAAAGCTTGGGAAGGGAGTATACATCTATGAAGAAAGTAAAGTAAGTTAGAATTCATGATATCATAGCTCAGCCATTCATAATGTTTTCCTTGTAAGTGATCTATAAATTTTTATGCAAATTAAAGGCATAGTCAAGTTAATTAGATAATTATAGAAGCATTCACACATTTATACAATCAAATTCAGAATGAAATGGGGGCACAGTTTCCTTTTTACAAATTAGTGCTTCCATAATGAGTGAAACCTACATGGGAAAGGCATACAAATTCATATCCATGGGTTGGCTTGTTTGTAATAGCCATTAGCTCCATTTGACTGCATATATGTATTATGAAATGGAAAAAAAAAAAAAAAAAAACTGGTATACCAGCCTAATATGTGTTCTTTATAGAATCTGCATAGCACTGCAGAAAAGTGGAATCCATGAGTATGCAGAAATATTCTATTGGCATTGAACATCATGCTTCAGGAATTCTGTGTTCTAGAGATTATTTTTTTTCATCTTTAGATGTGCCTGATAATGGTGATCTAGATGGCCATAGCAGGAATCCAAACTCAGACGAGTGTTCATCTAATAATAATTCATCATGTGTAGTGCCCAATCCATTAATATGAGTGTAAGGCATAAATGGGTATAACTCATTGATGTATGTAAAGATGTGAATTTAGTTTATTTGTCCGAGACATTTATAGATATATTAGGGATTCTGTTAAGTGCCAGGCAAACAAATGTCAAATCATTATGGAGCTACCAAAGTCTCCTGCTGACAGAGAACTTCTGTGCATTCCAGAGATTTTCTTCACATACAGATCCTTCTGCATGTTGAAATTGCTGGGAACATAAATAGTTACACCAAGCTCTTTGTGTTTAATCTTCAGTTATCCAGCATTCGAATTGCCCAGCTTTTTGCCCATTCAATGAATGTTTTATATTCATTGGGAGCATTTTGATTGTAAACCCTGTGTCATAAAGAGATAATTTCACAGCTCTCACTCTAATATTTATTAAGGCCCCACATCATAAAATTTTGATACTAATAATAAAATTTAAACCCTACCTTTGGAATGCTATGATCCATTTCATGAGATGCAACTGCTCAACTCATTCATTTCAAACTCTTTTAAATCCTTAGAACTTGCCATTCTTTAGTTGAAAACAGCTCTAGGACTTTTCACACATATATAACATTTTATGTATGCACAACCATTGATAAATAATTATTGCATAATTTTCATAGACTTACCTGTGAAAATTTTTTGGACACTTCAGTATGTGTGTGTCTTTGTATAAACAAACTGAAATATTAGATATGCATGTGTATAAATTATATACAATGGCTCACATTTGTTTTGGGGCAATTGTATATTGAAATTTATTTGCATAGATCTTGTACTAAACATTGAAGCATAGACTTCAACTTTTTTCTATTTTTAAAATAAATATCCGTAAAATAATCCATGCAGTAAGTAATTTGTTCAGAAAGTATTAATGAGTAACTGACATAATAATTGGATGCTCCAAAGTTTTGTTGAGATATTTTCGAACATATTTTTGTCATAATTTTTTTGTTTTAAATTAAATACATCACAAAAATCACCATCTGCATTTGGAAATTGTTATTTGTTCATCAAAATGTATTAATGGTTACCTGTCAGAAATGAACATGGCAAGATGTTACAAATTGATAATTTCTATTAAGAATTTAGTAATTCAACATTTTAAAGATGGTAAAAGTATTTAAAATAACCAAAAACTCCTTGATGTAAAGCGTTATCTAATAAAAGATGGAAATTGCATGGAACTGTTGAAAATACTGTGAAGTTTGGACAACATTTCATCCTAATACCAAGGAATTAGGAATTGCAGATTTGTTACATGTATATTTTTAAAAAGTCTAAAAAGCACTGTAAAATGCTCATCAGATTTAGGACAGTTTACAATAAAAGCCTACTCTGAAGTTTTTAGAAGAATCATTTAGAGTTCTTGGATATCATGAGTGATTAGAAAGAAGAAAACAAGGAAAATCTATTGTAGACAAAGTTTTATCATATTGAACAAATGTCATATTTGCAGAATAGTCAAAATTCAATATATTTGAGTTCAATAGATAAATTAATGTATGGCGAAAACCACATTAAGAATTCAATTTGAAAACCTATTGTTTACTGTTACACACAGGGGTAGAGCTTTGGAAATGTTTTACTGCCTTCAAATTAAGAAAATTAATTTTTATTGAAAATAATATGGATTCGTGTCAATGCATAATTATTTATAATAAAAAAACTGAAAGCATCTGCGATAGAACTTGGAATGCAAAATGCACTGAAGTTCTATCAGAATAATGATCCTTAACATACATCTTAAATGCTCATTTATTACATAACTGCCCCAACATTATCAGAATTTCTCCATATTCTCAAGACTTAAATCCTGTGGAACAGGTATGGGATAAATTGAAGGAGAGAATAAGGAACCACAGTACTTCTTCAAAAGCTCTATTGAAAACAATTCTTATTATAATATAGTGCTTACCCAAAAAGTTAGTTGAATCCCTATAAAATTGCATGAAAGTGTAATTTTAACTACAAGGTATCCAGTGAAATATTGAATGTCCCATTATTTTTCACATTTTCAAAACTGTTAATTTGCGGAATATTTATGCAAGTTCATTTTCGGCACTTTTTGAATAATTATTTTTTTCTTTTTTACTTTGCATTTTGAATATTTTTTTAAAAACAAGCAGGCTTTAAAATAATTGATAAATAGTATGTATATAAAAAGAATAAAGTCTTTTTCCAAATATTTAGTAACTGATATTTGCAAATAATGGTAAAAAACACAAGCATCCTAAAACAAATGTGAGCCACTGTTTAAATATAATGATTTAGATCTTGATATATAAAGATAATAGCAGTTGTCAAGCCGGTAGAATTCTTCATTTGTTTCTTTACAAAATAGATGTATCACTGATAAACTAATGCTAGGCATGCTCATTCTTTAATGAATTTTTACATTTATTGTGTGTGGGTTCATAATGAGAGATTGAGCTCGTTATATATGGCACTTTTTTTTTTTTATCTAAACGTGTATCTGTTATATAAAGCACTACTGTATTATGAATCTCATTGTTTCTTTTATAATGTGAAAAGTATACATATTAAACAATGTGCTTTTATATAAGCGATTTTCTTTATTCACAGACCATTCCCAAGCCACGTATTCCAATTATTCATTTTAGCAAAGCAAAGCCTCCATTTATTTTGTGTGTAAAATTGGCAAGTATAATTTCTTTTTGTGTTCTTTCTTTGTTATTCTGTTGGAGAAGTTCTGATTAATTATAAAAATGTTCATTAATGGTTCTTGAACTTTTTTAGATTGTATGGCTTAGTCGTGATTAAAAGTCTAATATACTGTTACTATAAAATATCCCAAGTGGTGGAAGATTGTATGAAGCAGTTCTTAATTATTGAAAAATTATACCTTAAATTAAAATACAGAAGTGTTATTGAACACTTGTAGTTCAAGCTGGTTTCAAATCCTTGCAATCAGGCTGGCTGCATGGAAGTTTTTGTGGTTTTCGCAATGTGTAATATGGATGCAAGCCAGTTTTCTTTAAAAAGATATCTGGATGATATCTTTTTAAAGAAAACTGGTTGATATTTTTCTGACTTTAAAAGGCCCTCCACGAGGGCATCCCTTTCCATAGCCTTCAAGTTGCTGTGCCTTGATCAATTAACCTAACCTTAATAAAAATGAAGTAAACCCTCTCAAGACAACCAGCCATCGTTCCAGATAAAGTTATATTATTTTATTTATCAACCATACAATATAACAAGTGCAATGTTTTCATTGCATATAGCATAGCCTCTTTAATACAATTTTCTTTTGGCCTAGCAAATAGCTGATTCTCAGAATACTGACATTTGATACTCTGCAATAGCTTAAATTTATCTTTCAATCAATAATTTTAGTTACTTAATAAATTCAGCAGTTTAAAAATAAATGTCTGTAATAATTCATAGTTTATGTTTTATTAATATATCCAATTGAAATAATTTATAATACACTTGACTTGTAATATATCAAAATGATAAATTTTATTAAGATTTGCAGCATTATTGTAAGTAATAAAAAGATATTCTCATGCCATATATTACATACAGAGTAGTTTTTTCCGTATTGCCTAATCAAGAATTTAATCATTTGTTTTTCATCCACAATGTATTTAAAAATGAAAACCAAGCGATTCTGTATTGATGTTTGTTATGTATCAGGAGTGGCTAAACTCCATATGTATATGATTGACATTTTTCCTTAAAGTGTGTTGTGATGTGTCTACGAAAATCTTGGCATTTAACACATTCAAACTTGTCTCTTAATGTACTAATAAGTGACAATGGGGAAGGGGGTATTTAACCAGCATAATATTTTATAAATAATATTTATTCGTTGAAAAATAGCCACAGAAAATATACAGATTAAATTTTACTTTATCATTAATGGGAAATCTACATCTACATGTCTGCAACTGAGCATTTGTAATTTTTCTTTATATCCAGATATATGTAATCATATTGAATCTTCAGTTTGAAAATCAGTAAGTAGGTTTGATGTTTAGTCTTCATGAAATTTAAATGTGAAAAGGCTGATTCATGTAAGTAGTTAGATCCAAAATGAGAGTAGACATGTTCACTACATTTGGTGATTTGGGAATACTTATCTTGACTGACAGTTTTCCAAAAATCTTGCTTATGATCTCTGACTAGTAAGGACAGATCAGTTTACAAGTCATAATTTCATCTTCGAATGAGATTTTCTTGTAGAACTGAATATGTCAGAATCTTCTGTAGCTGTATGTTTAACATTTAAATACTTACTAACAGGGAAAGACAGATACTGCACCTTAACTTTTTCGGAGTAATGAAATCTAACCTCAGAAGTCTTCAATCACCTTTTCAATTTCTGGAAAGTATTTTTCAGTGTTATAACTATAATTCTGATGTTTTGATAGATCAGCCATATTTGGAAAATGATTGAAATTGTTTCCTTGAAGATCTTCTATTTAACATAACAGTTATGTTTCCTACGCATCAATGCTGTTGATCATTTCAATAATTGTCTTGTATGTCCTTTGAAATTCTTAATTTAAATCACTTAACTTTGGTGTAAAATTTGTAAGAAACACTAAATCACTGAACCAAGTTTCATCAATAAATTTGCACATTCTTGATATTGCTCTTAGAGAAAACATTTTCAAATCAGAAATCATTGCTGAAATTTACTTCTGTTTAACCATCAGTATGTAACAGTAATTCTAGCAGTCCTTCATCAAGTTTCAATTGGAAAAAACACCATTTAAGAGAACTTCCTCAAATGGATTTAAAATTTTGGTTGCTATGTCCATTATTTCTTTCATATTTAATTCTGGCTAACACATTTTTGTGATGTATGCAGTGGTAGCTCAGAAACTTAGGCAATTCATCATAATTTTGGGATACACTTATGAATAATTTATGCAGTCTGTCATTGCTCCTACATCTGTGGTTATTGAAAATAATTTAAAATATGGTACTTTTAAGCTAGTGAAGAAGGTTTTTTTAAAGATTTCTAGTCCTTTCTTTCAAAGAAATCATTTCAAATAAAAAATATGATTAAAAAAAAAAAAATTACACACAAAAGCAGTTGAGCTGTGTCACTTGTATCTGTTGATTAAGTTGAAGGGGAAAACAAAAACAGCTATAAATACCATCATACAGGGTGTATCAGTACAGCATTGACAAACTTTCAGGAGAGATAGAGTACACCTAGCTGATGGGAAATCACATAGGAATGCATGGTCGGAAACACTTTCCTGGTGCGATAGTGACGACACAAAAGTCAAGAAAGAAAGGACACAAGCGGGGTGAAAAAACATGTTTTCTATTCAGAGTACAACAAAAGCAACATAAAGAGACAACAATCATCATCAAAGAATGTGATCGAAATAATGACCTAGATCGTGATGCAGGAACCGCGCGTTATGCATCTTTCATTCTTAAATCAAATCTTCAATGCAGAGAAGTGAGGCCTGCATCATGGTCCAGGTTCGTAAGGTTTGTTTTTGTTCTTATTTGTAGGTTTCTGCTGTACTAAACATAATAAAACATGTTTTGTCCTTCCATTTTTGCTTTTTGTGTCATCACTACCACGCCAGGAAAGTGTTTCCGACCATGCATTCCTGTGTGATTTTCCATCGTCTAAGTGAACTCTATTCTCTCCTGAACATTTGTCAGCACTATACTGATACACCCTCTATAACTGTTCTCATATATTCTTATTCATTTTCTCAATCTGCTGCATCACAGTATTTTGAAGGCCCCCATCAAATACTGGTAGTTCGACAAAGGTTCAAGCCCAGGCGAAAGAGCTGGCTGCATAGCTTGTTTTCCTCATGTATTACATGAATACAAATATGCTTTTGTTACCAATCTCACTTGTCTGAAAAAGGTCAGTACAAGTCCACAACATTCATCATGGCAAGGAGTCAAATGTGCCTTTCGTTGGCTAGAACCTTGAGCACCATATGGGTGACATTCCAAATTTAGCTCAGTTCTACTTTTTGAAAGACAACACAGATAATAAGTTTTGTCTACTGCCATCATAAAAAGAAATGAAAGTTTATTTTACCAATATAACGAAATTATCAGAGCTTAGTTATTGATATTTTATTGTGGTAGAAACAATGTTGTTTTATTCTAAATGAAATTTTAATATGGTTCTTAAATGCATATAACTTTTTTGACATTTCATGATTAATTTTAATAAATCACATGATCTTTTAGTTGATTATTTTAAATGCTATAATTGAATTACTTTAAATTTCATTGCAATATAAAAACTTATTCCTATATACACTGGTGTGCAAAAATTAAGGACGAAGTCGAAAAATTAGCATATCAGCTGAACGAAGAGGCAGAGCGGACAGAAAGACCAATCAGGAGATTAAGTAAGGTGATGTGTGGTAGCACATACGCAGATATGCAGGTAGATGTAATGGTGGAGTGTCTGAGTACTATAAAGCATGTTGCCGGTGTAAGATCAGTATTTCTGGCAAAGAGATTGTACGCCGTATAGCAGTTAAAATCACATCGAGTTGCTGCCTCAGCGAGAAATGGCGAATAATCAATCTGTTAAACGACATCTGGATGCTTTTACCCGAGGTCGAATCATTGGGAAGTTGGAGGAAGGCTGCAGTGTGACAAGTGTGGCTGCAGAGTTCGGAATTGCTCACAGCATCGTTTCACGACTTTGGAGACACTTTCAAACTACAGGAACAGCTATCCGGGGGTTTAGTAGTGGTCTTCCACGAGGAACGACACCCGTAGATGACCGGTATATTGCCTTACAGGCCAGAAGAAACAGGCGGCAGACAGCGGGAGAAATCGCTAGACAGGCGACTGGACGACCGATATCGCGTTTTACCGTGGCCAGAAGACTGCACAGTGGTGGTCTGTTTGCACGATGCCCTGTACGGTGTGTACCTCTAACGCCTGCCCATCGGAGAAGGCGTTCTCTGTGGTGCCGGGAACACCTGAATTGGAGAGACAATGAATGGGAACGAGTACTCTTTACAGATGAGAGCAGATTCAGTCTGAGTAGCGATTCTCATCGCATACTCATCTGGAGAGAGCGGGGAAGCCGCAATCATCCCTCGAACATCATTGAAAGGGACAGGTATGGAGGTGGCGGTGTTCTCGTTTGGGGAGGCATCATGCTTGGTAGTTGCACAGACCTTCACATCTTTGACGCAGGTTCAGTCAATGAGACCCATTATTGTAACGAGATTCTTCTTCCATATGTGCGTCTTTTTAGAGGCACTATGGGTCCGCAGTTCCTTTTCATGGACAACAATGCACCATGTCATCGCACAGTAGCTGCCGAACAGCTCTTAGAGAGTGAGGATATTGAACGTATGGATTGGCCGGCACGATCTTCGGATCTCAATCCCATCGAGCATGTATGGAATTTTCTAGGCAGACGCTTGGCAGCTCGTACCTTACCACCAGTAACGATTCCGGAGCTTCGATTGGTGCTGCAAGACGAATGGGGAGCAATGCCTCAACAACTCATTGACACCCTCATTCTCAGCATGGGCAGACGCTGTGAAACCTGCCTAGCAGTCAGGGGAGATCATATCCCCTATTAAAGACCGGATGTTTCTTGCTGGACACCCATCACAGGGATGTTTCGGCCTTCAGTCGCATTGCGCTCCATGCTACTTTTTCAATAAAGCTTCTTTTTATCCCTCTGATTTCTCTTTTAGTAAGTGTTGCTTACATTACTCATGTCCTTACGTATTGGGGATCTTACGGTATTAAATGTGTTGATTTGGAAAGCTTTTGTACAAAGTTATTGATTGAAAAACCGTCTCGTCCTTAATTTTTGCACACCAGTGTATATTAATTTTAAAGTCGTCTCGTCCTTAATTTTTGCACACCAGTGTATATAATTAAAGATTTTATATGAATAATACCAACTTTAATATGTGTATTTTAAATAAAATAAATCCTTGTATAATAATTTATAATTTTGTTCACAATCTTTCAATAATAAGTTATTTTCCATTGTTAATACCTATTTATAACTTATTTATAAAGTGAATGCATAAAATTGTAAATGCACCATCTATCTATCTACTCATTGTTTGTTCATTAATAAAAAAAATTAATAAATTTTGACTTGGTGCTATTTTTCAGGATATGACTGGTGGTAAATTTGAAGAAAACTTAGCATCTTTGTGTCTTATAGAAGGAAAAGACTATTTTCACTTCAGCTGAAATGTTCATATTTCAATATTTTTTTAAAGAACAATTTTTTAATTCAAAAAATAAATTTTATTGCATCAAATTGTATTTTTTCCACCTGCTGAAAATTCATATTTTATATCATAAAGTAAAGTAGTCACTAAGAAACGAATTTTATGGAGATAAAATTGAATTATCTTTCCCATTAAATGTTTAATGAATTGCAAAACCCATATTTGATGTGAAATTTCTATAATAAGAAGTATACCTACCATGGTAACATATTCAACATTAGTGATATGAAAATACAGTAAAAGCCTGACTATCAATCATTTGACTAATTGGAAAGCTCAAATAATTGGAATTTTCTTAAAGAAAAATTAAAGTGAGAGACTAGTAAAATCATAAAAGATGTATAGAACTAAGACACAGAACCTTGCTTATAACATCTCAAATGTATATACACAGTTACTCAGCTGTCTTTCAAATGTTGATCATTCTCGACCATTTTATTTCTTGTGTTATTTCAAGAATTTGCTCTTGGAAATAAAAATTCCTTACAGAGAATCTGGAGTTAGTATAGCAGGGGAACATATAAGAGATTCCAAAGTTCATGGTAGATATTTTATCCTTTGTTAGAAATACTCTCATCAGTTTGTTTAACATCAACTGTTTTTTTTTTTTTCCCCCTTTCATTTTTAACAAACAGAAGCTATCATCAAACAGTGTGATTTAGCAACAATAATGAATAAGTATGATGTTACAACACAGCATCTTTGATTTGGTTTCATATAACCCAGATTAAGCTAAATAACCTGGTTTAGTTATTATAAAGGAGGTTATAAATTAACTGCTATTCATCTGTTTCTACTTTGCAGACAGTATTAAAGTTTAAGACTTGATGTTTTAGCATGTCAATTACTGCTGATTTTTTCATTGTTTAACTCTGCCCTAATTTTGATGAAGAACCCTTGGGGAGGACAAATCCAAGGCTTCTTTCCCCCCTTCCTCTACCACAAATGAATCTCTTGAAATGACTTTCGGGCAAAGAAATTTGAAATGATATGGTGATTAATTTTTAGTTTAGAGAGAGACAATTTAGAGCAGCTATTGTTTCAGGATGAAAAGGGGATACACAGACACACACATACATATGTCATAATTTAATGTGCAGAAGAAAACACTGGAACTTTTAACAGCTTTCAATATTCGTCATGGCTGAAGTTCAGTACCGTTAACACAACTGAACTCCTTGAAGTATCAGTCTTTATTTTCATGCATATAAAACCATCTTAATAGACATTTATCCAATCATAATGAAATATGATAATTTTTATACACATTGGTTTTAAAAGGAAGACGTAAGCATTCAAGCAAGGTGGTGTTGCCAGAGCAGAAGTTATGAAAAGAAATTATGTAATTGTTGTGCAAAGAGTATTTATACTAAGCATGACACAGAAAATACTCTAAGTTAAGATTGGTTAATTTCAAGTTGTTACATAACATGGAAACATATCAAATTTGGGAGAACAGATGAATTTAGAGAGAGAGCATAAAATCTAGAATAGTTAATTTTCAGGTCACCAATTATTTCATAAAGCAGCAATTGTATTTTGTTATACCTTACATATATATAAAATACAATATTTATTAAAATCTAATATAATCATATCTAGTATTTTCGCGCATTAAGTGGCTGAAAAGTATCAATAAAGACAAAGTAAGAAAATTTAGAACCAATTTTGTAAAGACCAGAATTTGAAATTCATAAGTAATAAATTTCATAAAATCCAGTACATGCAAAAAAGAATTTAACAAATGTTAAAACTAAAAATTTTAAACAAGTAATACCCTAATTAAAAAAAAAAAAATCAATGACATTTAAAGAAAAGAACATAATAGAAGAGGAATTCAATCACCTTATCTTTAAATTTCATTGATTTTTTTTTAATTAGGGTATTACTTGTTTAAAATTTTTAGTTTTAACACTGATTGAATTCTTTTTTCATTTATTGGATTTTATAAAATTTATTACTTATGAATTTCAAAATTTGGTCTTTGTAAAACTGGTTCTAAATTTCTTACTATATATGTATAAAATATGAAAGAAAACTACTAACTTTAATTTTGAAATAGTCCTTTTAATTTGGCTACATCCCCTTCCTGTTTGAATCGAAACTACATCACCTGAAAACTAATTCACATTATGTCATCTTATTAATCCTGCAGTGCAGTTAGTTCTTGTCCAAATGCTATTCAAAATTTAAGAAGAGAAATCAAATCTATAAATACCCTTTGCTGCTGAAATGCACAATTACTTTACCTGTCATCCTCTCACTATACTGTTGCATCATTCTATTCTCTATGTAGTCCATTATCTAAGAAATGTGATATACTACAAAAAATTGTGGAGTGCTTATCACATTCATAATGAAGATCTGAAAAAATGAATATGTATCCTCAAAACAAATTATCAAGGAATAAAATTATATGTTGTTATCTAAGCCACATTTGTAAAGTAGTTCTCCATTATCTGAATTTGCAAATCTCCACAATTCTGTCAGTCTGTATACACTGATAAGAATCATCAAGTATCTGCTTTATATCCTAAAAATAGTAACTGCTTATAATTAATTGCTCTAGAGACTTGTAATTGGCTAAACCAAATCATCCTGAACTAAGTTTTCAACTTACAAATGTCACATCCACTCTCTGCTTATCTAGATTGCTGCTATTCATTTTCTTACCCCCATATTTATTAATGTAAAATTTATTCAAAGAATTACATTGCTTAGTGCCACTCTATCAGTGACACATTAAAGGTAAATGTTTGTTAATGAAAATAAAGATATATTAGACAGGACATGACTGCAGCTACTTCTTTAGGCATTTACATGTCAATCATCTGTTACAGCCATTTTAATTTTTTTTCCAGGGTTGGATAATTAATGCAGAGGAGTTAAGGTTTGGCTTAATGGCATCGTTAAGTGGTATGATACCATTAAATGGTATTATTATTACAGTGGCTGCAGCTGCACGTTTTTACGCTTGTCAAATAGGAATCCGAAGGTTTCACTTCCTCCTCAAAAATATTGGTAACATTATTAACTATTTTTCTGTGCTTAAAATGGATGGTTTTACCTTTTGAAAATATTTCATATTTCATTACAAAGATGCAAAAATGCAAGGAGGTTAGTATAATATAGAGCTCGGAAAATAAATGTATGCGACAGGAATATTATTCTTATCACTATTAAATAAAAATAGCAGTTTTATTTGATACATTTTTTTTAAAATTATTTTTTTTCCCATAGAACCTGTAAAAGATTTCTATTTATTCTCTTTTTGTATAAATGTTTTTCCAATTACAAGTCATCCCCCCCTTCTTCAATTAAAAAAATCACCGAATTACACCATGGTTATTTTCAGTAATTCTAAGGTAGAGAGAAAAATTCAATTAGAGTAGAGATAAATTATGCTACTATGACTGAGGAAGCTTTGTATGGTTCCAAGTAAAGAATTTTCACCCAGTACTGCTCTATCCTATCAGTATTATTTATATACATGCACATACATTGTAAATGTTGAATTTTAATTATTAATAGATTTAATTGAGAAATATCCTTCATTGCTAGGGGTTTCATCATACCCACTGAAAGAAAGACTGTTTGCTGAAAGATACAATACAGCACCCATAACTACCTGTAGGATCTCTCTCCATTTTTCTTTCTCTGTGTGAATTAGTCGCTTAATATCGTGATCGATGCCTTGACTGTTTCATTTGTTACAGTCGAATTTTCCACTTAATCATGCACTCTCTGTGGATTTAGATGCTTCTTGCTCAATTAACTTTTCTGAAGCTTTCTTCCAGTTAATGAATCTCTAAGTACAGAATGCTGATGTAGCGGCAGTGGCATGTTTCTGGTAAATCTCACAGGGTGTACAAAAATTTCATTTTTAACTTTAGAATATTGTAGAGACATTAGATTAATTGGAAAAGCCGGAGAGATGAAAAATGAGCAACCGCCATTGCCAGGAATGGAACACGGACCTCTGGAATACCGGTCCAGCGTGCAGAACCACTACACCACGTTAGGAAAGCAGGAGAAATACCTTATATACTCCCCTTTTTAAAGGACGATTGGGGTTTTTTTAGGGGACCCAATTGCCAAATCCTGGGTGTGGAAAAATCTCATCCAACACCCTTTTATTCGGGCACCACTGTAGAGACATTAGGATTTTTTTTTTGGAAGCAGGCAAGATGAAAAATAAGCAATGCCTTTGCCGGGAATCGAACCACAGACCTCTGAAATACTGTCCCAGTGTGCAGAACCTCTACACCACAAAGACACACTAGGAAAGCGGGAGAAATACTTTATAATATATAAGCCAAGATCTTAATCGTTTTATTATTTGTTAATGTTCTGTGCCATGATGAAGATGTTTTCCGCCATGTTCAGTGGACCTAAGGTCTCCATTTTCTGGATGATTTTCGGCTAATAATACAGCTTGACTGCTTGAGAAAAATCGTTGCTGATCGTTAAATTTTTTTTTTCCTTTTTTTTCTGTAATTGGCCAACTACCTGGGTCCGACAAATCAAAAGTTTTTAAGTCTTCTTTTTGCTGCCCACATGCACCTAAATGAGAAAATACTTTATATCCTCTAGATGTTCGTTTGAGGTCGATGAAGAAGATTGCTCTCTCAGTTGCTGAAATGTAGTCTGCTTGAGGATGATACATGAAGATTCTTCATCTTGGTCATTCAAATTGCAAGAAATATTAATATCCTTTAGAATCTCGGCACCATTGGAAGTTGCGGCAGGGTCTGACGGTTCGTCTTTTCTGTGAAGCCTTTTTTTTTTTTTTTTCATTTTAGCTGCAATTTGTTTTCTCTGATCTGTCCTTTGCTCTTTTTCTATATTCTGCCCCTGAGAGCTTTTTCTAGATGCTTTCATGATTTCTTTTACCCTAAATAATATACAGTATTAACTTACCTTAATAAGAAAAGCTAGAAATTGATGTAATTACACTCAACAGTCTTAGGGCCGCTAACTAAACGGTTGCGTCTCGCTAAATATGGTGAGGAATACTGGAAGTAGACATATTAA